ATCCAACTGTGGGACATGACCCCAAAACCGCAAATTTTCTTGTGGAAGATCGCGGGATACCATTTCTACCAATCCCCAACAAGATAGAAACGGGTTTCCAGGATGGTATAAGTCATATTTGCCACATATTTTCATATATTTTCCAGGTTCCCAACTTTTCCAATCTTTTTTGGGTTTTCTTTCAGCAAAAAAAAACTGCTATGTTTGGACAAAACCATGACACTTCAGCAATCGCTGCCTTGGAGCCATTGACTTTGGGCTCCTGAGGCTCCTGACCGCTTCAGCGACCGCTTGGAGCTGGATCTTTCTGGATTTTTGAAGCGAACAAAATTCTGGCTGACCCTTGACCCTTGTGCGGAAAAAGTGGTTGGGTAAAAATCACACTCATTTATAGAATATTATATAATTACATATAATTACCCAACATTTTATGTTATTTTGGGATATTTTGGGATAGTTACTCCTACTAAGCATCATTCCAGGTCGCAGTGAGCTTGTTGTTACACAGAAAACACCATGATTTGGCCAAGGACCAGCTACTATCAGCTACTGGCCGATGGGTTCAAAATAATACTAGCATATAATGGTCACTTACAATCGTTCTCCCAAATAGCTTTGAACATTTTGAACATGGTCATTTTTTCAAGCATCTTACTATATTATGAAACATATCTGTGAAACCACTGCCAAACTACTAACCATTGCAATGTGGCCGAAATCTCATAGACAAATCGCTCCGTCGCCACCCAAGGTGGTTCTGCTGTTGAAGGCCCGAGCGTCCCCTAGCGCTGTGGACAACATCCTCCCAGGCTCCCAGGTAATAGGACCGAAGGAAAACAACATGCTTAAAACATGAAGGTATTCTGAAAACAGCTATCACAGTGGATGTTGATGTTTGTAGATGCCTCTGACTTGACTTATGGGAACTCCGAATCGGAGTAACGGTGGTAACTAATGACAATTGGATATCAAAATGTTTGAGGTTCAATGTGACAGATCACACACACATAAACAAGTAGGCCGGCAGGAAGAAAAACAAATCAAAACCAACCAAAACAAACCACGCGCACACATGAATGAGGCACACAAACACACAATCATAAATATCAACAAATAAAACCAGCAACACAAACTAAACAAAGTGTCACACAAAATAATACACTACCTGCGTCGAAACAACAACAACAACAACAACACCAACACCAACACCAACACCAACAACAACAACAACAACAACCACAACCACAACCACAACCACAACCACAACCACAACCACAACAACCACCACAACATCCACAACAACCACAACAACAGCCACAGCCACAGCCACAGCCACGGCAACTACTACTCCAACTCTCTCCCCCTAATTTTGAACGAAGCCTCAACTCTGAGTCTAAGACGACTCAAACACAATCAGGTCTCTCCATTTCATGGCCATCATGTTCGGCAGTTTTGATTGCAAATTGAGGGCCTAACCTCCCTTTTGGATAAACCCTCAAGTTGCTAGTGATAGTATTTCCCTTTATATATCTTTATATCATGTTAAACCCCAACTACGATTTAATTTCCTCATGATTTTCCACTTAATTTCTTTCCCAAGCTCGCTGGCCGGTGGGTTTGAATAAATGTCTACCGGGATGGAAAGCTTTTTGTAGGTGGCTAGCATCTCAAGTCCTTCCCAACTCTGACCCTCTAGTAGTTTAACATAGCGATGGAAAATCACAATTGTTAGTAGGGGAATCATGTATATATACATGGGCCATTTTCGATAGCAAACTGTTAGATTACCAGAGGGTACTTACCCTCCAAGTGTCCTAGTTCAGTATTGGATCCATACAGCTTCCCAAATTGGAATGTATTCAAGTACGGTACTGGTTATATACTCCAGTAAAAAACTGGTTGATGGTATACCTACCCCTCTGAAAAATGATGGAGTTCGTCAGTTGGGATGATGAAATTCCCAACATATGGAAAAATAAAAAATGTTCCACACCACCAACCAGAAAATCAATATATACTGAAGGGGATATGGGATCAATTTCTCAGATGCCTTCCTTGGACTTGCTGAGGCTTTCGACAAACATGATGCCATAGATTTTCCCCTGGTGGATGTCCGATTCGGAAAACTACAGATCACCTTCAGAAATGCTGGTGATTTCACCAATGTTTGATAGATACAATCCTTCAATCGCAGCCAAAACTCCCAGTTCTTCCCAGCTTTTAATGATGAAACCATACTAAATCCATCTAAATCCCAGTTTTTCATGGTTTCTTCCCTTGTGAAAGCCACATTTTCCATGGTTTCCCATGGCTTTTTGTGTCATCACCGAATCATCTCCGCGCCGCGCCTCGGCGCCCTCGGCCTCCTGGCTTGTGGGATTTCAATGGGATGATGTAATAATGAACTCATGGGATTTACCATGGATGAGCATGGCCCAATTTAATCCAATTTACCCATGGCTATGTTAAATTACCAAACGGTAAAACTTCAGCTTTCGCATGATGATGATGATGATGGTGATGATGAAAATGAACATGAAACTGGATGTGTTTTTTTTGTAGGGGGGGAAGGGCATACCCAATTTTTAGACAAATTGGCAAATGATTTTATTTCGGTTACTTAACATACAATTTGGAGAAAATTGTTCAAAGTCATTGTCTCCTTAGTAGGGCCAAGTAAACCATCCACTTCGATCCAGTTTCGGTGGATTGTCGCAGCGTTTAGAGCCACTACCAAGCCATGGCGGATGTCTTATTTCGTTGGCAAAGTCCAATCAACAAATCACTCATTGCCATAACAAGATGCCCCTCAAACAACATGTTGGGTTGACGGGGGGGTTAGCCCCGCTTCCTATTGTTTTGGTTCGTCTGTCTGTCAAAGGCAAAGTGCATATCATCAAAAATTAGTGTTTCGCTGTGGCGAAATGGCAGTTTTCAAACATGCTTATGATGTGTCATTGACTTGAGTTCTGCTTAGCAGTGTCAACATAACTTTCATTTTTTCAAAAAAATGGATGTTGGGAGAAACCCTTACAGGGGTTTGTTGCCGCGATACATTTGCATTTTGAGCTCTTTTTTTCATTGATGTGTCAAAGGCAAAGTCACATGATCAAAAAGGAGTGTTTCGCCGTGGCGAAATGACAATTTTCAAACATGGTTATGTTGTGTCATTGACTTTTACAGGGGTTTGTTGCGGCGACACATTTGCATGTTGAGCCCTTTTTTTCACTTGTCTTCCATCCACGAGACATCTTCAAAACATTTCACATGACTGACTTTGTCAGTCATGTGGGCAATGAATTGAGCGAACGTCATCATAGTCGCTTCCAGGCCTAAGTTCTTGTGAATGTAAAGTGCTGACAAACCATCCACGTGTGCAGTTTTCAATGAGAGGCCTCCAAGCTTATTGTTTCGTCTCAGCTGCTGTTTCAGCAGAGCTGTGTGAGATTCTGCGACCTGGTCTCCTCCGACCATGGTTACTTTATGCCGGCCAGTTTGAGCTGCTTTGCAGCCAATGGCTTTCAAGGCTGTTGTGGAAACCTTTCTCTTTTTGAGGGACTGTACAGGTGTGTATTCTGACAAGCTATGTCTAGCAGTGACTGCTTCCAAGTTCAATTTTTTTCTAGCTCCCTTCAATCCTTTGGAGGCATCGGAGCCCAGGATGTGTTTGCTGGGGTTCACTTTGTGTTGCAAGAGCGGCACAACTTCGTCTAAAGTCTCTGGCGGGCCAGGAGCAGATGTAGCCGTGAAGCGGTCAGGCAAAGGATAGAAAGCGCTTTGTTTGTTTTTTCTGCTGACAGCCACTAGAAACCGACCACCATGCACTGCCACTTTGGAAGTTGGTTTCTTGGCAACCGTGTTCCCGGCTGGCTTCTTTGTCATTTTTCGTTTCTTTGACCCCACCTTGTTTTTTCTGGTTGCCGTACGACACGAATCTACCTCCAGGATTCCGGCGTCAAAGGTCATGGATTTGTTTTTCTGAAACTCAGCCCAACCTGTCACCATGCGAGCTTGCTTGTAAATGGAATCGACATAGTCATGGGATCGCCCAACAATGTGCGCAGCTGCATCTTGAGGAATCTTAGCACTGACACAATAAACCGTACGTACGAAGCCTTGCATGTCTGGTTCATGTCCACCTCTCAGTCGGTTGATGAAGGGTGTGTAGCCAAATTTCCAATTGATACCTACAGGCAAGAACGGCCACAACTGAAAAACGCACAAGTCGAAGACTAGGTGAACATGCGTATATCATTTGCGATGGATCCAAAAAAATGAAACCATACCAAGATGCGAGGTCGCAGTGCTGGACAAGAACGGTTCGAACAACGCAGTAAGGCAGGATCTTGTTGAAGCTGGTTCAAGGATGCTTGACATCTCCAGCACTGACGTCCCCACTGCACCCCGAAGAAACCTTTGGCTTCCAGGTATTTTTTGCACCGCATTTCAGACCACAAGGCTAAGGATGCAAAGTCAATCTGCTTGAGACCTCGCAAAGCACGGTACTTTTTGAATTTCCCACGGATTCCGGGAGAATAGCTGAGACCCTTCTTGTGAAATTCTCTGTTGACACCAGAACTCGTAGCGATGGTGCGACTCGGAGGTCGTTTGCGCCCAGAGGGATATCTATCATGTCCGAGGGATTTTTTCATTGGACGTTCCCTGTGTGAAACTCGGACCTAAAAAGGCTTTGCAAAAAAGACGTGACATGAGTGGAAAATGGCCACTGGCTTGCTCAAAAAAACCTCACACCTAGTGAAACACATGGCACCCACAACTTCACCAACCAAATTCTGGCGACTGGGAGAAACGTGCAAGGTGTGTCTGCAGTCAAGGTATCAGAGTCATGGCCAAGTGGTTTGAATTGATTCCCATGATATTCGCGATTGACAGGCCATTTCATTCTGCGGAAACTTCATGCTTCATTCTTCATCAGGTGCAAAGATCTCTCAGCAAACAAACCGCAGCAGCAGCTCTTTTTCCGATTGGCACAAAGTTCTTCACACATCGCGCTCAGTGTTTCGGCGCAAACTGGCAGGGAGTTCTGCATACTTGTTTCTCATGAACTTGGGCAGCTCCGACCATTTGTCTTTCGGAACAGGAGCGGAAAAAAAACACATTCTTTTACCATCTTGCACTTTCTTGAACCTATTGCAAAGCAAGCGAATCTGTCCTGCAAATTGACCAGAAGCATAAAGGTGCGGCGACAAAGCATATCCACAGTCTGCCCGCATGCATCTACCCCATTTTGTGTCAGGCAGGGAGGTCGCTCCATCTTCATCTGCGACCGGTTTGACACGGTCCTCAAAGAGCGCAGCCCGCTGCAGCATCGACATAGGGCCGCCAGACGAAGACGCAGCCGAAGATGAGTGAGTGAGCTCGGCAGCAGAAGCTGAGGGCAACCTGAGATTCATCATTCTCAAATGCAAATGAATGCATCAGGGAAAGAATTGACAGTACAAATCCTTGGAAAACAATTCGAAAAACAAACCAAGAAGCGGGGCATTCACAGAGTGCTTCAAAAGATAATCGAGTTTTTGTCGCAAAGCTATAGGACTATCGATAATCTTTCCACCTTGGAAGCGCGGTGGCGACAAACTTTCCGATTTAGCTGACGATGCATCTCCTTCAGCATCTTGACTTTCGGATTCCGATTCCAAAGTCAACGTAGGAGCCAACATTCTTCGAATCTCCGGGCTCTCACAGACCTAGGATACAACAGTTTGAACGTCACGAACATGACAGTACAAAGTCTATTTCGTCTATTTCGGCATCCGACAAGAAATGATAACGAGGTCATCTAAGGAAGAAAAGTAAGATGTCAAGAAAAAAACTAAAACCGAACTCAGAAACAGGAATCACGGAGGGTGGATGTTCAAGAGTTCTGCGTCCTGCAGTCGAAAGCGGCTCAATGGGCTGCCCAGATTCCAGCAAATTTTGCAACATCATTTCACATTGAAAGTCCCAAGGTTCAGCCAACTCTGAGTCAGGAAAGCTCTGCGGCATTGTTCCACGTAGCCGCTTCTGCAACCATTCACCTTGTTGAAGAACTTTCACTGGCAGAGGCCTATGTTCTTTCACATAACGAAACCAAATTTCCTTGAGAACCGACAAACCCTGGCGAAGGCTCGTCCAATGATACACTCGTTCCACTGCAGCAAAGGTGGTCTCAGCTCCAGCATCCCCATGCCATTTCAACGCTAAGATGTAGTGAACATCCCACAGTTCTTCCGTGCTCAAAAAGGACCAAAGAACACAGACAGGTGGAAACTTTTCATGAGCTGCGCGGAGGAGAATTAACAATGTAACACCATACAGAAGCGGATCCATGGAAACAGAGCCCAGCAGCGAGCTACACAAGCAAAGCTGTGCTAGACAAGCATGACATTCCCATGATATTCGCGTTAAACCCTTTCTTGCGTTTGAACCATGTAACTACGAACTACTTTTGGAAACTTATATGTCTAAGCAAACTTGACGAACTCTCACGCAACCAAGAACTCCAACCAGCCCTGACACACCAATGCAGCCCAGCCCCAACATCTGAGATGCGTACCTGCAGCGCAGGTAGCAGGCAGACATGACCGGTGAAATTTACATAAACAAATCATCCTGACAAGTATATATTATTCAGTAAATATATAATTATATAATACAGTAAATATATCATACAGTTAACACAGACCCAACCCCCCCAACCCCAAATACGTTCTTCGCGTACCATCAACATCGAAAGCAAGTGCACACACACTGCCCCCAAGACCTTCTGAGCGTAGCAACCCCCCCCAACCCCAGATGATCAGCGTAACATCATCAGCGTAACATGAACGTTAACATCCCACCCCACCCCTCCCCAACCCCAGATGATCAGCGTAACATCATCAGCGTAACATGAACGTTAACATCCCACCCCACCCCTCCCCAACCCCAGATGATCAGCGTAACATCATCAGCGTAACATGAACGTTAACATCCCACCCCACCCCACCCCAACCCCAGATGATCAGCGTAACATCATCAGCGTAACATGAACGTTAACATCCCACCCCACCCCTCCCCAACCCCAGATGATCAGCGTAACATCATCAGCGTAACATGAACGTTAACATCCCACCCCACCCCACCCCAACCCCAGATGATCAGCGTAACATCATCAGCGTAACATGAACGTTAACATCCCACCCCACCCCACCCCAACCCCAGATGATCAGCGTAACATCATCAGCGTAACATGAACGTTGACATCCCACCCCACCCCCCCCAACCCCAAAAGCAACCCAGTAAAAACGGGGCTAACCCCCCCCGTCCAGCCAACATGTTGTTCGCCAATTCGTATTCATAAGCATCCGTATTTGCAATTATTTACAACCAACGTTAAAAGAGACAAACAAGTAGTCAAGTATTTAAAGTTGACCCAGTTTCACACAACCTACCATCTATGAAAACAGACATGGTCCATGTTTTCTCCGGAGGGTTTTCCTATATTTTCCCTATGTTCATCCAATTTCATCCCCAAAGAAGATGGGGAAAACCCGGAAAAACCGACCATCTCCCCAGCTACTGGCGGGCCTTACGTTCAAGGTCATCGAAATCCATGCATTGCGTCTCGGTAAAGCCCGGCGCATAGCCGGCCTTTGAACACGCTATTGGATTGGTCGGGAATTTCAGGATTCTAAAATGGAGGTACGTTAGCACCATATAAGGCCATATTCTGTGGGGATATTCCCGGAAATCTAGGCCTGAAAAATAGGGCTTATATATGGTAGGTACCTCCAATCGATCGGTTCCTGAAATAGCCATTGACCCAAGGGATGGACTGGCACAACTCACAGATCTGGCTCTGAGGTCACTGCCGGAAACCCGGACATGGCTCCACCGGCATCATGGTGCAGATGAACGGTGAACGGAGAACGTAAGAAAAAAACCCTACATCAAATAGCTCTATATTATTATATAATATATATATAACACACACAGATATATATATGTATATATATATATTATAGATGGTGTAAATTTCAGGAATTTCTCCCTTAAGATCCCTTAAGCCAATCCAGTGAAGTTTCTTTTTAAAGCTCCTTGGCTAAACTTTGGCCGTTGATTCTCAACTGCGAAAAAAACTCCGCCGTTGGCTGAATTGCAGCTATCGCCTTTTCGTGCTCTGTTATCTTTGGATGTTGACCCATCCATCCCCGGATATCTCTGCCGCCTTGTTTCAACCCTTCCCCTATGAATATATACTTCGTGGGATACCCTCTGGTAATTTAACGTAGCTATTGAAAATGGCCATTTATAGTGAGTTTTCCCATTAAAAATTGTGATTTTCAATAGCTACGTTAAATTACCAGAGGGTAATCATCCCATTTCAGATCGAAAACAGTTATGATACAAATGAAACCGACCTTAATTGGATCATTTGGGTCAGTTCATTACACTTTTCAAACATCTGCAGCTTTCATCCATCATCCCCGTGCACCCGTCCCATCCCAGGATCGTCGCCTTTTTAAGGCTCACGTGTTCCCGGAGTTGCTCCGTCATGTCGATGCATCATGGGATCATGTCAAGCCCGGATTCATGGTGACCAAGTCCGCTCCATACTGCTTTACAGTAGTCTTCGGCTCATTTAGTCGGTTGCTCAATTATGGGGCTACCCTCCAAAAAGTGACAATATTATATACACACATATACATATACATATACATATACATATACATATACATATACATACATATATATATATATGACACTTAGTTGGTACCCCCCAATTCAATCCAATTCAAGAGTCCAGGGGCTTCCCTTCCCATGATGGCAGCCGTGGCCATGATATCTCGAGAGATAGGTCAGCAAGCAGCATTGGCAGCCTCAGGGGTCCATTTTTTGGGCCCATCAGGCCATCCACAAAGTCGATAGTTTTGGGGCTTTCCTGACTTATCCGAAATGATCATTCTCTGGTTGGTGGTCTTAAGATGTTTTAACCATCTTGAAAAATGATGGAGTTCGTCAATGGGAAGGATGACATCCCATATATGAAATGGAAAATACAAAATGTTTGAAACCAACAACCAGAAAATGATCATTCTAGTATTAATTAAACATAGTTAAACCATATTACAGTAAACCCATGGTTTGACTTGGGGATTTCCCATTCTATGGATTCTATGAAACCCCTAGTGGAGAATATGAGTTCATCATCAGTTTGTCCAATGGCTAGTTACTAGTTGGATCCTCACACTGTCCCGGCAGTCCAGGGGATCGCGCCTGTTGAAGATGGGCCTTTCCCACTGCTCAAAGACACAAATGGCACACAGTGGCACCCCCCCAGGTGGAAGGTGGTTTATAATCCCCATGTACCTATAGATATAACTTATAACCAGCATAAACCCTAATCATTGTACTATTATTCAATGGATTGGTGTAAGGGAACATCTACAGGAAACCCGTTTTTTTTTTTTTTTGGGGTTTTTACCAGCACATATAGTGGTTTCCTGCAGGTTTTCCCTTAAACGAACACTGGGAGGATATTGGAGTTATAAACTACCTTCTTGGTAAACTAACATAGCTACAGCTATTGAACATGGCCCATAGAAATAGCTGATTTACCCATTCAAAATGGTGATTTTCAATAGCTATGTTGAATTACCAGAGGGTAACTTAGCCAAGTCTGGGGCATCACCCTGTATGTCCCTCAGCTGAGTGGCCGCCAATAACAGAGAGCTACGAATGTCGCGCGCCTCGAGCCAAGAACAAAGGGGAAAAGCATGGATAATAAATGGGGACAACTTGTGTAATGGCATTGGAATAAACAACAGTCAGAATATCATCGATAATAATAACATCATAGATAATACTAGTAATGATAATATATAATCATAACTACAATGCCATACCATAGATCATTAATAATAACTTGGGATAAACGGTGTAGTTTCTTTGTAGAAATTTCATCGGGATCAATGATACAATGTGGATGAGCACAGGATACACCGTCTGATGGCAATCCGGGATGTGTCTCTCTGCCAGTTTCGTGGGTTCTTGTGGTTTTACGTGGTTTTACTTGTCCTTCAATTCAGGAAAAAAAACACGTGAAACATCATTTTTTTCCAACTTTTTGTTCCTCTTTTTTCCGGTGATTTTTTTTGAAGAGAAAACATCAGAAAAACCCTCGGATCTCGCTGATGCCTGGTCTGGGTGAGCCGATCTTTCAAGGAAACCAGTCACTTGGATCGAAGTCCTGCCACAAGCCCCGTTTCCGAAACAGATCAAAAAAAATGGTCACGGTCCTACCAAAAAGGTAGGAGTATCTAACCATCTAATTAATCCAAGATATCCTAAGATATCCTAAGTAATCCATTCTAATCCCACCTGTTCGTATCTCATCCTATTCCTATCTACCTACCTGTCTATTTAGTTCTCACAGCTACAGTAATCTATCTATCCATCTACCTGTGATATAAACATTCCGTGGTTGTAATGATCATATAATAATATATGTGTATAGATATTGAATGATATTGACATGTCCTGCGGCTATCGCTAAACCATACCTAGGACCTTTTCTTGCGCCATCCTCTGCCATTCAGAAACCTGAAAACTCCGCGTCACCCAGTCCTGTCTTGAGAGACCTTGGTGACCCGGACTGAGATCGAACGTAATGTCTAGGGGGGTGCTCCTCCAATAGTCATAATATGATACTTAAATGGTACCCTCCCAATTAAACAATCTAGAGGTTTATTAATCCAGGGTTGACATTAATGGCTTCACAAATCTTCACAAGCACATCAGGTTCCTCAATACTCAGGAAACCTTACTTCGCTCATGCAGATTTAGATAAATCTTGATCATACCTGCCAGGTTTCAAACATGTTTTTCTTCTAGGTATCGATCATATATTGATCATACCTGGCAGGTTTCAATCATGCTTTTCTCCTAGGTATCATTACATTTGCATACATTTGCAGGGTTTAACGACCCACCAAGCTGATGTTTGAAACAAAACCAACTTATAGGAAAAGAAACTGAGGACAGCTGAAAACCCTATCCTCTGTGTGTGTGAGTGTTCATAGTTGTGTATGCCGGTGCAAACATATGGGGTGATGGTGATGGTGACAACACCTACACATGTACCTTGTCAAATACCGTGGTTCGTGTATTTACTGACATTAGCAACACTGAAATCAATCTCTTGAGCCACTTGCTGCATACACCAGGATTCCTACCTCTAAACAATTGGTATGGATTCCACCCTCAAATATTTGGTCCATGGGTGCCCCCCTTGAAGATGTTGACATTTCTTGTGGACTATTTTATTGCTTCCTTCATGGCTGTTACATGCTATTACCACTTATCAGTGCTACTACTGTAGATAACCTTTTAAAGTTGCATGTAATTCTTCGTTTGATGCTAATTCTCTCATCCAACCATTCATAGCTCCGTGCTTGGGTGTGCAGTTCCACTTGCAAATGAATATATGACCATAGTTACAAGGATTATATCCCAACCTATGCAACTTATGGAGTTTAGCATAGAAATAACCCCAACTGCACACCCAAGTATCATCAATGCAACCAAAGAACGCGCACCTGCGGCTGCAGAGGCATTCGTTGGAGGAGCCCCGCCTGCTGCTTCAAGGAGAAACCTGGGTTTTCCGCATTTCCGACGGATGAGTTGGGCATGACCATGGTAATAACCCCAGGATATAAACCTGGAAAGGCCCTATGATTATGGCCCACACCAAGTCGACCTACGCTCCAAATCCAATCAAACTCCGGCTGTTGAAAGTCATCCCATCTAGGATTGGGAACCAGCCTCTGATGTTGGAGGCTTTGCATTCACATAATGCAAGTATACTATATAATACTATATATATACTGTTTGACCATGGCCACATGTATACCTGCTACAAACCTGCTTCAGAAATCCATCAGACTTTAAAATACCAACAACCTAAATCGAATCATGCTTCAAACGGGTCCCCTTTTTTCACGTACCAGCGGTCCCCTGTAGGTTTTTGACCTTTGAAGGTGTCTGTGATGGTGAATTCTCCTCAACAAAGCATCATTTAATAAACATTCCGTGGGAGATGTGCAAAATTTGCTGCAAAATGTTGAAAAAAATGATCTGTTTCGCTTAACAGACTGGTTTTCCTTACGATATTCAGAGTTGATTCCTAAATAGTGGATTCACCAACGGGAAATGCACATGTTTTCCTGGCTGCAACCACAATTCAACTTGTTAAAGAAACAGGTTCTTGAGAGGTTTGGGCATGGTTAGCTAGTTCTAGAAGCTACCTCTCATCCTACAAACACCAGAAAAACTCATTTTTTGGGCAATTGAAACAAAATGAATGCACGAATTTTGAGGCGGACAGAACACTCTCTTCCCCAATACATTATGACCCGTCTCATGGGGATACCTTCTGAATCAACCGCTAGATTTTCGCATGGGACAGGGGTCCCAAGCCGGGGGTTTTATTAATGGCTCAATGTATTTCACACACAAGTATACACTACACACATACAAACAAACGTACCTACATACAGACAGAAATACCTACATAGAGACAAACAAACAAACATACATCTATATCTATATATCTATATATCTATATAATCTATATAATCTATATAATCTATATCTATCTGTATGTATAGATATATATATATATATGTGCATACATGAAGTGTTACCTTAACCAACATCGGGTAATGAACCCACCCTTGTCAAGAGTCAGTGTCACCCATTCAAAGTCTCGAGAGACGCACTGATCCTTCGATCTCGTCAGCCGTTCCTGGGTCAAGTGGCATCGCGCCGTTGATCTCAAGTGGCCGGTCCTTTTACATCTTTTACCCTCTGGTAAAGATACAAAAAGCATCAAAAAGCTATGGCAGCTATCACCGGCTATCACCATGTTTAATGGGAAAATCAACTATTTCTATGGGCCATGTTCAATAGCGACTTTAGTCGTTGCCGGAGGGAGATGATCCGAAAGGGAACACCTAAAGGACTCGCGAACGTGAACGTGCACATCACAGGTGTATGATCCAATGAATTATCTATTATATTTGTTTACTATCTATTTAAAGGTTTCGGCCCAGGGGTGGTAGTTGTGTGACTGTCACTACCCCCTTAGTCTTTAACCATAGGGCTTTCGCTCATCGCATGTTTGGGCGACTGCTCGCAGCGTGGCTTTGGTGTGACTTCATTGCCCATTTGAGCATTCAGACTGGCGAAGCAGGTGGAACCAAATTGGCATCGGGGCCTTCGACGGAAAAGGCAACGAGCGAGATCCTGCCTTTTCAAGGTTCGCATCGGCTTCTGGGGGAGAAAGACAAGAAGGAAAGTGAGACAGGCTTGGAGTTCGTTGTACGAGCACCACTCTTACAATCCATTCGAGTTCCCTTCCCTAGTCCAAAGTCTGGGTGTCATGACGTGGCATTGTCATACATGCAAAGTCAACAACACGCCAAAGATGACTTATTGTCGGGCTTGCCATGCTCATTGGAGTGCGGTATGGACAGCACCGCGACGCTCCAGATCCAAGAGCATCAAGAAGCAGAAGAAGGAGGCTTCAGAATACAAGGTGACAGAGCAAGCCAGTCAAGAGACGAACGCATGGGCAGTTTTCCCAGAAAAATTGCCATGGATTTCCACAACGCCGGCAAGCAGAGCCCAGCGCAAGGTGGAACCAGGAATTGCTATGGACAAGCCTCTTGGGATGCCTCCGCAGCCAATTCTTCCACCAGCACCATCTGCCGAAGTACCGATGACGCTGACAGCGGAGGAGGAAAAGATGTTGCAGCATCTCAGAGGTTTGCAGGCCATGGACATGGACCTTACGGAGTCAATGACACGAAGATTGGAGGAGCTTTCCATGAGGGAAGCGAAGGCTCAATCCAGTCGAACATTGACCCATGGACAGTTGAACAAGCTCAACAAGCTCAAAGTGCAGGTGGCCACAGCTGCACAGAAGATCAAGGACCTGGACCAGGAGTGGACATCCTTTGTCAGCACTACGGTAGCCAAGGTCCGGCAGCATGGAGAAATGTTCCAAACATGCAGAGCAGATCTCATGGAACATTACAATGCCAAGATTCAAGAACTGGCCAATGTGAAGCGAGAGATGACTTTGGCATCCCAATCTTTGTTGGGACCTCAATGGACAGAGCCAGTCATCCCAGAGATGCCAGACCTAGAAGTGCAATTCGAAGATTTGCAGACCACCATGGAGATGGAGGGGCATGCAGGCCCCATAGATCTAACGGAAGCCATGGAGGAGGAAGAGGAACTTGTGGAGCCAGAGGACATGCTGCAGGGAGCATCATGCAAAGCACCACCACGAGCCCTTCGTCCCTTTCGTGGGTCAGGTTCGCCGAGCAAAGTGGCCAACCATCATCTCAAGGTGAAGGTGCAAGATTCGAAAGACAGCAAGGATGCCAAATTCAAGGACAAGGAGAAAGAGGACAAGTGATTGATCCGGTGGCAGTGAAAGGCCATGGTCCAGGTGGAAGGCTTGGATCGGCGAGCACTTCCTGTCCTAAACTGACATCCTTTCGCAAGCAAATCAGGGAGTTTTGGCAGTCCCATTTTGGTCAACTATTTTCCTGGAACAGTGACATGAGTGCAAGGAATGACATCATGGCTCCGTCCACGGAAGATCACAGTGAGGTTTGTTCTCCAAAGTTTTCACTGGTGGAGAGGCAGGGCAATTATGAGTGTGAGAGCTTGGCGGCTGCTCATCACAACAGTTTAATTCACCCTTCAATCCAGCATCATTGCAATGAAAAGGTTGAGGCAAAGTTGGAACCCCTATGTTATAGCGATGGATCCTTTGACTCCCTGGAGAACATGATGCGAAAGACCATTGAATTTGGCTGTGATCAGGCTAACTTGGATCTGATCAGGCCAGCGCAACCCCTTTATGTTGACAAGGCCATTTTGCGGGATGGCATGGAGGGTAACATGGATCTCCTTGCATCCCAGGTCTTGAATGATGATGTTGACATGCATTTTATGGACAAAGCTCATCGCCATCCCTTTTCAGATCCGTCATGGTGCAGACGTAGAACGGAAGTACAAGGGGATGCGAGTGATGCGTGTCAGAAAAGATACAACCACAAGAGGGTGACCTTTTCTCCCATTGTTGAACTGCATCTGGAATACCAAGAACAGTTATGTACAGCTGTCATGTGCGAAACAGATGCATGTCGAACGTGGAGGCATTTATGGCACCTTCATGGGCAGATTGCAGCATGGCCTGTTTTTCAAGCCGTTTTTGCAAAAATGGCCGCTTGGAACATGACCTATGCATGGAGTGGGATACCGGCTGTGTCCAATGACGAGGAAGTTCACGTGGTGCAGCAAGAATCCAATGAGCCAGCGGGTTTATCTGAGAGTTGGTGGACAGCCATTACACAAACATGTTCTCAGAATGATCCGAGGCCAGAATTTATTGCAACGTGGTTCCTGTCACCTGGGCGTTTTCACCTGTGCATGCGCCCCAGGAGAGTTGTCTTTCATGGACACATGGTTTTCTCGGAGTTTGAACATGCGTGTCGAGAGACGTGGAAGGAGTTGATGGATGGTTCGCACCTGCGATGGTATGTGGTCCATGGGCAGCCAGAAGGCCTGCCTAGCACCAAGGCACATGTTATCATTGTTCAGGGTGATGATTCTCCGTGGTCAGTGCTCCTGATGAAAGGAGTTGGTTTGCCACCCCTCATGTCCACTCGAGCGGTTCTTTATGCAAACGAGTGCGCTGTACGGGCAGTCTTCCGAGCAGCACAATATTCAGAGGCATGTGCCATGCAAATTTTTTTGTGTTGCATCCAGTATGAGCAGTTGGGAGAAGCACAGCAAATTGCTGATGATGAGGTGTGCAGAGTGCCACAAGCGCAGTATGTGGTCGGTAATCTGTGTCCTCTGGGTCTTTCCGATGAGGAGGACAGCGGTGACGCCTCATCTGCATCAACAGATATCCCTTCAGATGAAGATGATGATGATGCGGTCTCCTGGTTGTCGTCATCAGTGACTGAAACACGGACAGCTTGGACATGGGAGTTACATCAATTTTCCCAACACATCAGCAGCATTGATGAGCTTCCTGACCGACCACATGCAGAGGCACATGAAAAGAAGGAAACCAAAGTCGACACCCTTTGGTCTTGGCAAGCGCAAGTTTTCAGGACATCTCAGCAGGAGGACAAAGGCGGGGGTGAGGGTAACGTGGATCTCGCCTGGCCTACAGATGTTGAATCTTCGTCCTTTGCTGAAACTGACGAAGTTGGATGGATGTCCAACAGACCAATTGCCTTACAATTTGAGCGTCCAGATCCATATCCTTGGGATGCCATTGAAGATGCTGACATTGAGCAGGAAGATGAAGAGTCTGATGATGATGTCTCATTTGCTCATGGCCATCAGGACCAGACGCAAGCTTTCCTCGATCAAGCCTTGGAAGGTCTTGAGGAAAGTGAAAGGCGTTGGGTTGTTGTGACTTTTGGGCTTGGTCTTGTCGACTTAGGTAGAAGAGACACAGACTTCAACCCATGGAGGCTTCATGAATTGGAAGGCAAGATTCGCACGCTGTGGGAGGACCATCTGCGATATGGCAGCCTTACAATTTATCATGTCACGCCACAGCCATGTGAAGTGGCTGGACCCAATACGCTTGTGGTTTTGGTTGTCATTGAGAGTCCGGAGGATATGAATGAGGACGTGAGAAATGTTCTCGTCATTCAGCGGGGACCTCGTCATTTGCCTCTCAGACCAGCGCCTTATGGGGCCAAGATTTTTACTGACATTTCCATTCGGGACGCTCTTGTTCAACTTGACATGCACAAGCATTGCAAACCATTCAAGATGAGGGATTGCATGATCCGCTTGGGCTACAATGTCATGGAAATGGATCAGCGATATGATGTCAGAGATGGGATGCTTTGTACGGTGCGGGTGGAAGACACACCAGAGTTGGTGACACAAGCTGGAAACAGCGTGGATCGAGTTGAAGATTTCTACCTGCAAGTGGAAGAGTTGCAGCACATGGAGGGTGACATCCATCAGGTTATCTGCCATGTCCATGGCATTTCACCAGCAAACCGTCCTTTAGGTTGGCGGCAGCTAATCCTGGAAGGTGATGATTTGCTACACTTGGATTGGATTTCGCAAATGCAGCAGCTCTGGCCCTTTGCTCCTGATAACGCCAGGGCTGTCTTTTGCACCATGGCTACTGACGATTTGCGAGATGCTGAACACATTCGGTTTCATTTTATTGTTGACTATGGTGGCAGGGAAGGTTTTCCCATCCTGGTGCAACAACAAATCGTCTCAGCACAGTCTATGCCATATCGTTCTGAAGGAGCCAATGAATATTGGGCTATCTCTGTGCTTGAAGGCCCTGTGTCGTTGGATATTGTGACAGCTTTAGCTATCCATCCCTTCTGGTTCGATTATGCCGTGTTGCAAGGAGTTCGTCCTCATGTTCTTGTCAATGGACGCAGAATCAGTGGATTGCAAACTATGTGGCAAGCAGGGGACTTTGTGCATGTGCGTCTTCAGGTCTGGCAGAATCACCATATGCTTTCCATCCTTTTGCATGAGGGAGTGGAAGCTCCACCTGAGCCTGAGCTGGAGCACACTTCCTTTGTGCAGATTCGCAGCAGCAAGAGTAGGTCGAAAATGATTGCTCTTGAACCCATTGGAGAGATCTGTGAGACTCTGCAGGTGGCAAACTGGCATCTATTGGAAGAGACGAGCAGAGAACCTTTGATGGAAGGACATCTCAGCAGTGATGTAGATGGCAGCAATGATGGGGGGGGTCCCCAAGACCACCCTGAAATGGACAGTATCAGTGAAATTCAGCAACATTTGCGCTTTGTGATGAGTCGTGGGTTTGATGGGATCAACCATGACTTCATGCTGATTCCTGATCTCCACCCCTTTGCAAGGGAGGCATGCAGGATTACTGACGATTGTCCAGGGAAGCAACCAGTGTTCCACATCTACACTGATGGTTCCAGCAAGAATGATGTGGCCACATGGGCAATCACAATCCTGCAGCAATCACAATTTGAAGGGCGGAACCAATTTCATCGTGTAGGTTTTGCAGCAGGTTTTGTGCAGGATGATCTTGGCCCGTGCAACTCATCAGCAATGGATGCGGAGGCCACGGCGATCATCGCAATGGCAGAGGTTGCTTTGGGACTGTGCAAGCAGGAAGCGTGTTTTATTCACTGCCACTTTGATGCTTTGGCTGTAGGCTTTGGTGCAATTGGGATTTCCAACATCCCCACGCAAAAGGATGGCACATCGCAACGCCAAGTTCATGCTAGAATCATGATGACGATTCTTGAGAAAAGGACCCAGCAATACGGAGGCACCATTCAAGGGCTTCATGTGCGTGCACATCAGGGCCAGCCTTGGAACGAGATGTCAGACAGTATTGCAAAAGCGGTTTGGCGAGGATGGATACCTCCCTTGGCATTTGAGTTTCGCTCAAGGGCCTTATTGCAACATAAGCTGGCTGCTTGGGCCTGGCTGGAGATCTCCCCCAGCGTGGAACTCCCTGATTTACGCACGATCTTGCAAAATCCCAAGCCGGATGCTGATCAGGGATGTATTGACTCCACTCTACGGCCTCCTAGGGGAGATGGTAGTTCAAGCCAACAGTCGGCGAAGGTCATTTTCGCCACAGTGAATGTAAGGACCCTGGAATATGGTAGTGGAGATGGCAGCAGCGTCAGTTGGAAAGTCAATGAACTTTTGCACCAATTTGCGAACAGTGGCATCCACATCATAGGAGTTCAGGAATCAAGGGCACGTGTGTCTTCCTGCGTGAACATGGGGCCATTCACCCGACTGATCTCTGCTGGCGTGCAGGGACAAGCAGGAGTGGAGCTTTGGCTCAATTGTGAAGAGCTAGGCCGCATGTTTGGTGGGAATGTCGTTGTTGACAAGGATCTATGCACCTGGCACTCCGACACTCGAATTTTGGCAGTGCGGTGCAGTTTTGGTGCAGTGGTCTTTGATGTGATGGTGCTTTATGCCCCACAGCAGGGACGAGGAATTGATGAGGTGTCGAAATGGTGGAATGATTTGAATGATGTCATGATGCGACGTGACAGTAATGTGCCGGTTTTCTGCTTAGGTGATTTCAATGCCAGATTGGGAAGCATCACCAGTGCAGGATGCGATGACCATGCCTGGGATATTGAGGATGAAGCTGGCAGCAGATTGCGGCAATTTGTTGACCGTTGGGACCTCATGATTCCATCCACCTATGCACAATTCCATGAAGGTCCCTCTGCCACCTTTATGTCCCCCTTGGGATACAGCAGCCGAATTGATTTCATCTTGATCTCCAAAGATTCACAAGCTGGCATCTTACGCTCCTATGTTGACAAAGAGATTGATGTCCTCAATGGGAGTGGTGACCACAGACCTTTGGTGTTAGAGGTGGGAATGCAATGGTCACCTACAAGAGATGGCAGATTTCTTCGTAGCAACTTTTATGACCGGGATGCTGCAAGAGACTGGTGCAAGTCAGGAGGCGTCCAGTTGATGAACATGCTGCCGGAGCAGTCATGGTCGCATGATGTCAACGCTCATTGGGCGAACATCAGTCAACACCTGCAGGAAGGAGCTGCAAAGTTCTTCCCCAAAAAGAAGAGGAAGCCGAGGCAGTTGTACTTCAGTGACAACACATGGAATCTTTTGTGTGATCGCAAAGATCTACGCCAGCAGCATCGAACGATCCAGAGAGAGATCAACGTGCATGTGCTGAAGCGATATTTTGGTGCATGGAGAGGCAAACATGACCATGTGGAGCAAAACAAATTGGTTGATTGGGATCTTGCGTTGTTGCGACAGCAGGAAGCAGTGACGTTGGAAGCAAGGATCAACATTGATGCCCGTTTCAGATCATGCAAAAAGTCTGATTGGAAGAGATGGATCAAAGAGCAATTGGACAAAAAAATTCAGCAAACAAACCATGCAAGCAATGGAGATTTGTTTAGCATCTTGCAGCCGAAGAAGTTGATAGCAAAGCATGCTGGGAAGCTTACCAAGCCTCTTCCGGGCTATCGCAGTTTGGATGGTCAATGGAAGTTTTCCAGGGACGACATTGCAGAAGCGTGGCAACAGCAGTTTGCTGACATCGAAAACGCTGAGACTGTGGCATTTGATGATCTCTTGACCAAATCCAAGCCCAATTGTGAAGCTCGGACTGCTGAGCAGCTCTTGGAAATGCCAACATTGATGGATGTGGAAAAGGCTCTGAGACAGTTGAACTTGGCAAAAGCGGCAGGTCTAGATGGACTGGGAGCTGAGCTCTTCAAGGGTGATTGTGCTACAGCAGGAAAGAGGATCTACCCGTTAGTCTTGAAAATGGGTCTGAGATGCCAAGGTGTACCGGAGCTCACAGGCGGATGGCTCTTGCCTTTGTTTAAAGGTAAGGGCAGTGCTCATGACATGAAAGGCTACAGGGCGATTTTGCTCGAACCTGTGGTAGCCAGAGTCATATCAAAGGCGTGGAGGCACATCATGGTGCAGGGCCTGACACGGGTTGCACGCCCAATGCAGTGGGGAGGGCGCTCTGGGTTGTCCATAGAGAGTTTGCACCTTCAAGTCCAAATGTGGCAAGCGCAAGCTCGCCGGCAGAAAGAATCTCATGCACTTCTTTTCATTGACATTCGCTCTGCCTTTTACTCTGTGGTCAAAGAGATGTTGACTGGGTGCGGAAATGACGTGCAAATCAGGCATGTTTTCGATCGCATGGGTGTACCCCTCTCTGCATGGGACCAGTTCCAAGCCAATGTCAAACATGAGAACATTCTTGGACAAGCGACCCAGTCAAATCTGACGGCAGACAACACGGGGGCTCTTCTCCAACATACATGGTTCACTATCCCGGACGGCAGGAGCATCCAGGCTCCTGCCACGGGCTCCCGCCCGGGAGACCCCGGAGCAGATGTGCTCTTCAGCCTTGTGATGTCTCGTATTTTGGGGCAAATCCATGAAAGAGCTTGTCGAGCAGGCATGCCACTTCACTATCAAGACGACATGTCAGGCATCTGGGTCACACGATGTGTGACGTGGGTTGATGATTTGGCCGTGTCAGTGTGTGCTGCTGCAGACCAAGTGGTGGACAAAGCGGCGCACATGATGTCCATTATCCAGGACACGATGCTTGAGCATGGAATGGTTTTGACTTGCGGAGCTGGAAAGACAGCTGCAATTTTTGCTTTTCATGGTGAAGGAGCCACAAAAGCGAGACAGGTTTTCGAGCGCACAAGCAGTGAAGGTTTGTGCATTATGTCCGAACACACAGGATGTCTCAAGATCCCAATTGTTGCGCATTACAAACATCTTGGTGGACACATCACAAGAACGGGAAGTTGTTTGCAAGAGATCAAGGTGCGGACTGCCAGCACCATGGCCAAGTTGCATCCCTTGAACAAGTTGTTGAAAAACCCCAGCTTGGAGGTGGAGAAGAAGCGTCTTTTGATCAAGAGTATTGGCATCCCAGTGCTCACCTTGCATGCTGGAACCTGGACGGATCTCACGCAGGGAGAATACGATGCATGGCAGGCTGGTGTTTTCCGTACATATCAGCAGATCCATTCCAGAGACCACCAAGGGCAAGTGAAGCATCTCCAGATCCATGAGTTGGCAAGAGATATGGATTCACCATTGCCTATGGAATTGATGTATGTCCAACGCTTGAGATTGCTCTTCCACATCATGCATGTTGCGGATGAGTACATGATAGGCGCTGTTCTCCACAACCATCAGATCATGCAGGGTCAATCGTGGTTGCACGGTGCTGTGAAAGCAGTCAATTGGATGAGGAGGCAGATCGGCAATATGTTGGTGCCAGAAGAGCTGAGTCACCTTGAGGATGTGGCTACGTGGAAAGATTTTCAGCCATTTGCAGTCACCTTGAAGCGTGGCCTGCGGAAGGCACAGAAGTCTCATTTGCTCAAGATTAAGGCTTTTCTGACTGTGAAAACGCACGCGGAGGAACAAGATCAGATGTTGCGTGAGATAGGTTGGAAGGGAGCAGATGATGAGGAGGTGGCCCAGAGAGACAGTGAGGTCTGTGTGTGTGAGGTGTGCCATGTCACTTTTGTTTCCCAAGCAGCTTTGGCAGTGCATCAGCAGCGCAAGCATGGCTACAGGATGGCTATGAGGCGTTTTGCCACGGATGCTTGTTGCCGCATTTGCAAGCGGTTTTTCCACACAAGGCCAAGACTTTTGCGTCACCTTCACATGGGAACCACTGATTGCTGGATTGGACAGTGCAGGAGGTTTTATCCTATGGAAGTAGCAGAGGCCAATCGTCTGGATGAACTGGACAGAAAACAGGGACTTGCAATGCACCAGACGGGGCTTTTGGATGCAAAAGTTGATTCCTTGTGGAGGCCGTGTGATGAGCATGAAATGGTCTCGACTTTACAGAATCGAGATGTTGATGCATGTGAGACTGGCAAGCCATCAAGAGAAGAATTGAGGCAGTGGTCAGCTTTTGGCATGCTCCCACCCGGGCAAGGGGGTCGGAACAAGACATCTCGTAAAGTTGGAGACATGAATGTTTGCAGCATCAATAAGGCGGCAGCAACTTTGGAAGCAGATTTGCTAGGCAAGCTGAAGCATTGGCAACCAGCATTTGATTGGATTCCACGGCCGATGTCGACAGGCCAGAAATATGTGTTGATCCTATTTTCTGGTCATCGCCGACATTCGGACATTGCTAGCTGGATGGAGTGGCAAGGCAATATCCAACCGATCAGTGTGGATCTTGCCATCGATCAAAAATTTGGCAATATCCTTGATGATGTTTTGTGGCGCCGCCTCATCATGGCGCGCAAAGTCACGGGGGTGCATGCTGCACCCCCGTGTGAGACTTACACACTGGCACGATGGATTGAGGTGAATGATGGCCCAGCACCGAGACCATTACGTGACATGCAGTCTCCTTGGGGCAAGGATGACCTCACCATACAAGAAGTTACCCAGTGCTTTGTAGGAACTTTGCTCATGATGAAAGCGTTGTCCCTGATGGTTTTGGCATACTGCTATGGTGCTTCCTTTTCTTTGGAGCACCCCAAAGGAGTGGAGGGTCGTGAAGGACGCTGGACGATTTGGGATTCAGCAATGATCCAACAACTTTTGTTGGCAGCAGATGTCAAAAGAATTGATTTCATTCAAGGTCCGTTAGGACAGCCTTTCACAAAGCCCACATCATTGCTCACTGGAAGGCTTGAGAATTTTGCCATGGAACTTTTCAAGCACTACCAACCGGGTTGGAAGCCAACGGAATGGTTGGGTGGACGGGAGAGCAACAAAAGAGGGTGGCGCACGGCCAAAGCGAAAGCCTACCCCCCTTTGATGTGCAAAGTGATCGCTGAAGCTCATTTACGTTATGCCCAGGGTTTGACTGAAGAGGGATATGAAAAAGATCCAGAACTCTTACAGCAAGCATTGGAGGCTCTGGCCGCTGGATTTGATCCGTACATGGTAGGAGCAAAGGGCACAGAAATGACGAGCGACTACTGGAAGAACATGGGCGACATTTAGGTTTTGTATTTTATTTTTGGTCCATAGGCTAGTAGCCATGTCAACAGACATGAAGTGAAGACCTTTGGACGCGCATGTCTCGCTACAGCAGCTTTTGAGACGTGCCTGCAAGCAGGCGTCCAAGACAGGACTCGAGCAGAGTGGAATAAAACTATCTATTTAACCATGGAATGTATGATCCAGAAATTCTCATTAGAATGGTGTATATTGACTAATGGGAAAGTTCAAGAAAACTCATGGGATAATATTATTATATCATGGGGGCACCACGGTTTACACCCTTTCAACTGATACGATATCTGGTAAATCAAGATGCAAGTAAACCCATCCACCTAATATTCGAAATGCCCATTCTATGGTCCCAAGTAGGTCTTTGTATCCCCTCCACCGTGGTTCCGGGGTGGTATTTAACAATGAATGGGGAGAAGGGATTAACATAGCGCCGGGAGTCCAGTTTACGAGATGTGGGGAGCCCAATAATAGACCTACCATCCCAAATGCGATCCAATTTATGGTGCTTTGGGGGGTGGTTTATTCTTGGGTTTACCACACTAATCACTATAAGTACATGTAAACTAAATACTAAATAACTAGTTAACAACAAGTATCAAATTTAATAATATGATGAACAAATATATAGTAAATACTGCAAGCATTAGTATTAAATAAACAAATAAGTACCAAACATACTGTTACTAATATTGACTAACTACAGCAAACCCAGCTATCTTCCTCAGGTTTTGACTGTCGCCAAGTGTCCAGACTCCACTGGAATGTGGATACGCACTGGGCGGAGCTCCGATCGACACGCTCCCTTCAACTCGGCGGCTGGCACCGCAATGGCTTCATCGGATTCAAAGGGCTGCAGCACCGCACGGTGCCCTTCGAAGTTCAGGAGCCTCGCTGGGACCAGGTCCCCTGCGGCCGCCCGCCGCACCCAGTAGCTGCCTTTTCGGCTTGAAAGGCGGCCAAGCCAATCTTGGGCCAAGAAAAAGGGCCTCAAACTGAAGGGTTGCACCTGGGACCTGAGGACCTGGCGTATCTGGATGACCTGGCTATAAGTGGGAGGGATTTGGAGGGGCTTTATGGATCATTTCCAATGAAACTTGGAAATTGCCATTATTTTCTGAGGATGGGTGGACAATGGCAAGATTCGGAGGATTGGGCCGCATTCGGGGATGCACACCACCTTTACGACAATGAAAAGCATGAAATGGAGGAACAAACAATCAATCTCCAAAATGTTTTCTGGTAGCAAACCCCATTTTGGACTAAAAACCTTTTATAGAACACATATATCAATTACAATCAAAGCCTACAACACCAATGAATGCTTTACTGTTTCTCTCCAAAAACCCACTAATTCTATGGATATTGATGGTTCATATCCCCCTCATCCCAGTTGCATCGCCAGCATCCCCACCGCCACTGCGGTGGCGATGCTGGTGCCGTTGGCCCCGGAGAGGCCGGGCCCTGGCGAGGCCGTGGCCAGCAGAACGCAGCGCGTCAAGGTGCCACTGCAGCAGCCGAGGACCGTTGCTTTGAGGAAAGCCAGGCAGAGGCCCAGAAGGGACCCGGGAGAACCTGGCGCCCCCGGATGTTGGGTTTATACAGCCATGATAACTATGGCAACTATGGTTACATCCCCCTAGCCAAGTTGGGCAAATTAGAAGTTAACTTAAGCATCTAGGAGGACTCGCCTTGTAAGTTTACTTTTCCCATCCAGCTGGGTTATATGGCAATGAACATGGCCACTATATGGAGGAAACGTGAACTTTCTAGTTGGGAAAGGACCTCGAAAATTCATCATGTTGGCTTAACCCGTTCAAAATTCATCCTGAAGTGGGGAAAACATGGGGGAGGGACTTACTAAGGTTTGCGGAAGGCTATTGTATAAGCACTTGGGGGTGCATCACCCAATTCGTAGGCGGAGCCAACACACAGATTAATAAGTGGGATATATATCACTTTTTTTTTTCGCTTGTATTGCTGGCACCATTTTGGGAGTATTAATTTATTTTTCGGCATCTTTATTATCTTCAGTAAGAAGTAATGCCATGGCAGGCTGAGCAATCAGCAGTTTCTCCACAGTAGTACGCAGTGTATAAGCATGGCGAGTTTCCCAATGTAAATCAGTGTAATAGAACCTGGGAAAAAGCCGTTTTTAAGGCCCAGGATTCCCAGGATGTTCAACGACAAGATAGAATTGGTGGGCTGTGCAAAGGGAAATGAAGTAGAAAAATGACTCTCGGACTCTCTGAATTTGAAGCTGCAGGACTCCAGCGATCTTCATGCTTGGGGGTGCATCTCATTTAGTAAGTATTGTAAACATTTTATATATATATATAATATATATATGTATAACTGGGTGGTATAACATGGTTCTTAAATGTTGTGAGTTATGAATCATTTCCTAACTGGGATGCACATCCAAGTAGCGAATCAGAATCACCAATCACCTTTTGCCATGGTTTCCAGCGGTCATTGCTGCGTTGGGTAAGCCATCAAAGCAACTGAAACAATGATGGAAGTGGACGATACTGTGGCAATATCCTAATTTTGTCAATTCAAATAATAGGATCGGGAAAAGATCTTGAAATTCATGGAAAATCATCTCCAGATATCTCCACACTGTAGGTCGAAATCTCAAGCAGGGCAAGGCTGACGAAATGAGAGCCATCGAATCAGAGCTTTGGCGGTCTGAACGCTCAAAACACATCCTGAACGCCAACGAGTGTTGCAGGCTGGAAATCTCGAGGTGGGTTAGGGGGCCATCAAATGGGGCCCATCAATCAATTTGGTCATTTGAATTTTGAATTCATTTGAAGCATTATATAATCCAACCATGGAAAATTGACATACCATCTGGTTATGACTAACATAGCCATGGAAAATCACCATTTTTAAGAACGGTAAACCCATCTATAAATGGGCCATCTATACCATGGCTATATTAAATAACCAGAGGGTATTTTGAGCATTTTTTGACATCCATCATCCATCAATGGGAGATCTTCAGGATCCAACAGATTGGAGGTACGTAAACGTACCATATTTTTGGGCATATTTTCTAGGGATATTCCCTGAAATCTACCCTCTGGTAATTTAACATAGCTATGGAAAACCACCATGTTTAATGGGAAAATCCACTATTAATGGTCATTTTCAATAGCTACGTTAAATTACCAGAGGGTAGGCCTTATATAGGCCTTATATAGGCCTTATATATGATAGGTACCTCCCAGTCATCGGTTCCAGATCCCAGCGGCCCAGATAAGCTGTGGAGATCTGGAAGACCCAGGCATCCATCCATTCCACCTGTGGCAGCGACGCAGAAAATGACTCCTCCTTAAAAATGGTGACTTAACTATGGAAAATGACCATTTTTAATGGGAAAATCCACTATTTCTATGGCCATTTTCAATAGCTATGTTATTTTACCAGAGGGTATCTGGTTATGACTAACAGTTCGCCATGGAAAATTTTAACCATAAATGGAGGTTTCTAGCTGGGAAGATCATCTATTTCTATGGGCCATCTATACCATGGCTATGTTAAATAACCAGAGGTTAAATGGCACAAAGAAATAAGTGATTTCCCTATCAAAAATGGTGATGTTCCATACTATGTCAGTTTACAAAAGGGGGTATCCAGATTGAAGACAGAAACTGTGCACTTTTCATGGCACTCCAGCATGACAATCATGGCACTCATGCAGCACCTGGTGAACCAGCTGCAAGTGATACGCGATCTTTTGCCTTCGTGGAATCTGGGTGATTTTCTCACCGGAGGACGGTAGCCCATGGTTATCCATCCAAAAGCCAAACAAGAAACACAAAGCCGATCATATCATCCTTTAGATCTCATGAAATCCCAATGATATCACCACCTTTGATGGTCAACTCCATCTTTCATGCTTAACCTACCATTTCTGGGTAACTTATCATATTTCACGAACCTGAATAGGTCGGCCATTTGGGGAGGATTTCCCTATTGTTTCCCGTACGAACCACAGCCACCATTGCCCAGCTGCAGCAGTCCCACGCGCGGCAGCAGAAAGGCAGTCAGCGCCGCTGCTGCAGCCGTGCGGGAATTCACGGCCAGGAACCAATGTACCTGGAACGGTGGTGATGAAGGTGATCAACCTACCATTGGTTGGTAATATACCTGGTTAATAATGGTGAATATTACTGGTTATGATGATGGTTAATAAGTTAATGATGGTTAATAACTTTTCTGGTTGGTGGTTTTGAGCCAACCACCCCTCTGAAAAATGATGGAGTTCGTCAGTTGGGATGATGATTATTCTCAATATATGGAAAAATAAAAAATGTTCCAAAGCACCAACCAGTTTTTTTAAATAATATCATAGTTTCCATCTGCATCCGGGCTGGGATGATGATGGATGATGGTTTGTAGTTTTTTTTTTTTTGCTATACAGTACTTCACTTCACTAGGTGGGTTTATAATTATAGACCAACAAACAGAACTATGGGGTACCACCCTGTGTGGAAATTTTGAGCAGCAAAATCTGAGTACAAAATGGGGAGGTCGCTGAAATTACCATGAACAATTGGAATATTCAACAGGAATCAGAATTTTACCAGCCAAAATGTGATCAAAGTAAAACCATAATGGGAATAAAACATGACAATAATGCTAGTGCTTGTTACATCATGGGATACAAACAAATGTACCATCATAGCATCTAAGATCTCATGAAAAGATGTGTCGCTTTCAACGCATACCCACATCCCAGACTTGGTTTCTTCATTCGCAACATCTGTCGAAGAGGCCATTCCAGTTCTGGCGGTCAGTAAAAACCCCAGCTTTGCTGGCACAATTCGTCACCCTAAAAAAAAAAAAACCATCGGGCTAGCCTCGACCAATGAATCCAAAACGATGGTTTCTTGCAACCCAAAGGATTTCGAACAGTTCCAGCACCCAAAAAATCCGTTTTTTTATCCCACTACTTGGGCCATGGCTGAAAAAAACCAGAAAGCCTTTCGTAATTCAACATAGCTATTGAACATTGTCCATGGAGTTTGTTGATTGACCTATTCAAAAAAAGGGATCCAGTTCGCAAAGTCTTAGTTTACCAGAGGGTAATGATTTCATACAATCACAGCTAATAGACTATAGATATCCCAACTTATGGAGCTTTATAGTTACTGTATAGCCATGGTTACAAATGGTCCCAAAGAAGTGTAAATCCACCATGGTCTTTTACCCGGGTTTTTCGGCACCGTCTTGCCAGGACCGGCACTCAGTGCGCCCAGTGGAGATGGCAGCGCCTTAATTCACGTCAACGTCGTGGATTTGGTGAGGGAAAAGGGAGTCATTTCAAGCAACAAACCTGAATTGCTTCATGAATTGATGGAAGGTTCCCATACTTATTCCCATACTTATTGGGAGTAAGAAGCGTGTTTGATCCTGTTATCGCTCAACATTTCAGGTTCAAGGAATGAAAACCGAGGGGGTCCATAGGGTCCACAGTGTGCAACTGGCTTGGTGGGTTTTGATTCTTCTATCTTTTTTTGGGTTTCTATAGCCTACGATAACTATAACCCTCTCTCTCTGTCGGGCGTGACATGTAATTAAATAGAATTAACATTCTAGCAACACTCTAGTTTGAACATATGCACGCATGTCGCGTTTGCGAACTTCATGTCCCTAGAGGCCAAGAAACAAATCGTGCTGCTTGAGGAATGACCGCATACTGCAGCAGCCGCAGGGATAAGCCTAGAATACTCCGGATGGCCAGCTTTCAGTTTTCCATGGATAAGCCTAGAACTCCCCTTGTCTTTAACTGGAAAACACACAGATCATCAGCTTCAGGGCTCCACCAAAACCAAGTCGCCAGAGCAAAGGCCGAAGATGAGCAAACCTTGGAGACTGGAACTGTGTTCCTCCATGAGCTCCTCATCTCCATCCCAATGCATATAGTCCATGCATTTCTGACCTGTTTTTGGAACCATGACATACATATACATATATAATTATATAATATCATATAACTAATATATATATATATATGTATATCTCTCTCTCTCTCGCTCTAAGTTTTTTTTTATCGATACACATTGTATCTTCAAACATATGTGCCCATATAATCCTATATCTACAATATATATATATATTATATATATATCTAATTTATCTACCTCCCTGTCTTTCTCGTTCTCCGCCTGGCTTTCTATTCATCCCTGGAGTTTTAGTTGTTTTGCTTAGAGAACTGGAGATCTTCAGAGGTCAAGACAGTTTGGTAACTTTTTTGGGGGGGATCATTGGTGATACAAGAACAACATATTATGAGTGTTTTAGGTAAACGAATGAATCATCTGGTACCAAAATTGTTCATCAAGAAAAACCAACATTGGCAATTTTAAACAGGTCGGTCGCCCAGTGGCGTGCCCCGACTTTGCTGACGGCATCTTCCACTGAGAAAACAAAGGGTCGCCACCTTAGCTGCTGAAACTGGGGGTGGTCGCCATCCTACGTGAATGATCTTGAATAAGTTGTCCATATATATGTTTGCCAGTAGACTTAGCGACTTAAGGGTTGATTCACACGCCTATTTGGATCCATGGGACGCTGCGTCCCATGGATAGCCAGGAATTCTCCGAGTGGCATCACTACCCCACACAGGAGCACCAAAGAAACGAAGCCTCAGCTGCAATTGTTCCAAACCAAAACGTGAAGAAACCTGCTGCAGCGGCTTTCTTTTTGTGAATCACCCCGACATCATGCACGACACACAAGAGATAAAGGACGAAGGATGGCAATAGTCAATGTTACTGATGTTAAACCAACATGTTTGATGCTGAAATGCTAAGACATTTATTTTGATGTTGATGATGCTTTCGATCTTGAGACGGTGGGGTAAAGAGTTTAGAAGTTTGGGGCGCTCCACCGTCGACCAAGCTGCTAAAAATCATGCCTCTGATCCGCATCTTCTTGTGATGTTTCTTTAGGCTGTCTTTGGCCTGGTGGTCTGCCATGTTCTGCCATAGGGGGAGCAACAAACAACTCATCTGACTTCCTGACACTTCTCAAGAGCGAAATTGTAAGTTGAAAGCAGGATGTTTTTTTTTGCTTTTAATATACTGGCAGTGGGAAAGCTGACAGAAATCCTTTTTCAAATCGCTGAGTACAGTCCAGTACTTCAATGCGCATCGTCCCATAGCGATGTCGAGCCTTGTCATCAGCAGCTGCTTCTTTGATTTTTGCGCCAACCTGTGTGGCTTTGAACTTTTTTGAAAAAGTGAACTCTAGAGGTGGCACTACCAAACATAGAAAACTATATTAACAGAGACATGAATCGTCCTGCATGTTCTCAAGTTCACATTCTATTTGTTTCGCTAGGCGTTCTTTTGAGCAGAGTGGAATCTGACGCACAACCATCCAAGCCATGGCTGAAAAGGTCATGGCTTGAACGGCCTGGAAGTGGCAATACCAGTGCCAACGTGTACGTACGCATGTATCTATGATTATCTATGCATATACCCAGTACGTGAATAATAATGCGCACACACATATACATATACAATCATATATACATTATATGTAATTATATATATATTATAATGTGAAATCCAGTATCTATTTATAATTCTTCTATATGTTTGTATGTTTATGTGGTGATGAGTTCCTTGCGCTTCACATTCCTCTCCATGTTCGATAAGTTTTCGCCTCCTCTGCGGTCGAGGCATTGCCCCTCCAAACGATCGTAGCTTTGTCCTCCGCAGGGCTGGTATTTGACCAGCTTCTTGTGGCAGTTTTTGATGGGAAATCATGAGATAATGATGATTCTCCGGAGAATAAGGACTTGAGTGCTTTTCTTTTCATTGTTTTTGGCTAAATCATCAGGCACACCCAAATTGACATGGAATACTATGAAATCCAGTAGCATTACGGGTCTGGAACCTAACAGCAAGCATGATGGATTGTCTGAAAGCCTTTCCATTTGGGGATTTTGCCCTTACACCCTCACCCTGTATATAATTACTGTATCCAGCTACTGGCCAAACCCAGTAGCAAAAGTGAGGTTCCATATTTGATTCCATCTTCAATTCTGGGAGTGTATGCTGTATGCCTTGGCTTCTCAACAAAAAAATACGAACAAGCAAATGGACCGACAGAGGTGGTCATTTTTAGTGCTAGACTATCCAAGTTTGGGGGCATTGGTTGTTCAACCATACCCGAATGCATCATCAAAAATACATGAAAATGAGGATTGCCGGATGGCAAGCTCTCGCTGGATTTTCGAGGGATTTGGTTGCAGGGTTCCACAAATCCGCCATCATTTTTTTTCCACACAAAATGGATTGCTAGACCTCCAAAGCCACCAAACATCATGATTTTACAGTAATATCAAAGACTATCTGTCTAAATAAACCGCTAAAAGGCAATTACTGGATATAGTATGACAAAATTGGCAAATGGTGCCTTTATGACCATGTTTTTCCATGTTTTTCCGGACTGGCCATAGCACCGCAAGCACCCAGCAACTTGAGGACGTCCTGTGCCACGTCCAAGCTGGCACAGGCCACCTGTGCTCCTCTGAGCGGCTTCTGCAGAAGCTGTTTGAGGCAACCTAGGGGCAAAATCACTGGGACGCCAGGATGGCTATGCGTCAAAACCCATGGACCTCCCTGTGGCGCACAGCAAAAATCATCCTAACTAGCTTGGCTACATATTATATCATATTATATATCTGTGTAAATGATATTTTTTTTATAAATCTCATGTTCATTCCCCCAAAAGAATAGACAAGAAGAATGGTACAATATATCACCACTATCTGACCTGGGTGCTTCGGCGCATCCGTAGCTGGTTAACTGGAACCCCTCCATTGCTATGGAGAGGGTGGCCCTTAAAACAGAGGTCAGAATCAGCAAGAGAGGGAAAATTGCAAGCTTGGATGGGCAAAGGGCACATTGCATCATATACATGTATCTACATAATATAAACATATCCTATCACACTGTCACATATAGGTATAATATGGTATAATTAGGTATATTAGCGCGCATGTAGGCATAACATATATTATACGTATATTTATGCAATTATACACACACATGGATATGAATACTGACATGCCGCTACAGTGGACAATGCCCAAACAATTGCCCTGTTGCCCAATCCTGACATGGGCGGCAAGGCGCTTGCAGCCAGACCCAGCGCCATGCCAAGAGAACTCGCAGAGCCAATGGGGCCATCGAAACTGAAAATGATCTCAGTGTTCCATGAGGGTTTGACTGAAAATCTAGAGTGGCCAGCTGTTATGTTAATTGTCGCATACTTCAATTTCCCATTGAAATGGTGATTTGGGGGTATCCCGTGTCCATCATTTTCATAATCACAAGGCTGGAAAGGGCCGGCAAGCTTCCCAAGGGCCAAGGAATCGAGGAAACACGGAAAATATAAAACTAAAGAAATGTGGGATGTCACTACTGAAACAAACAAGTCTTTCAGCTGATCACATCTTTGGAAAGCTTCAAACACCAACGGTCCAGCCCGGAAAAACATTGGAAAAACCTCACGGATGAAGAAAAGCACCAACACTGCCATCATCATCGCCATCCTCATCCCAGTCATCCTCCTCATCATCAACACCGTCATCATCACCAGCACCCCGTGCCAAGTTGGTGTTCTTAAAGCCGGTACTTTTAGGGAACTTTCTCCAAAATGGACACCACACAAATCACACGGGTTTGGCAAAATCCAGGCAGCCAATGGCAGAACCACCAGCAAAGGAGGCGGCAACACATAGGCAGAGAGGTACCTGAGCACCACAGCCGGACCACTCAACTCCTCAGCACTACAAAAATTGACTGTCCATGCATAAATGGAATGGCCAACCTTTCATCCTGGCACAGGCACTACCCGTATATTATGTTTCTCAACCATCTTTGCCAGTGTAATGTCAGTTTATCATGTTGTGAGGAAGAACCATGCCATCAAAGGGTCCAGCTATGTCCAGCTATGTCCAGTCACTTGGACTGGAGCCCCCTCCCACTTGCCCCACCGAAGCACGAGGACACCGCGAAGGCATACAGGAAACGTCCGAAGACATGATATTTAATGGCCAGCGTGATGAGAATCGCGGCCACTGGGAGGGCCATGAGTTTCTTCAGCTTCGCCTTTTTGGACACGGGATTCAAGGCTTTCCTAAGCCGCAGATGCTCGGAGTCCAGACATAGAGCTCTGAACTATGGCCCACTCGTCATATTCATTGGGACCCGGATGAAGCACGAGGGTCGAAAGACTGGACATGTCAGGAATTTTCAATGGTCACACCAGGTCACAGCCTGAATTTCCTAAGTTGTTCACATAATGTCCATGACAACATTTCGTGGCTTTGTCAAGAATAAGGATACCTCTAGAGATAAAATTCGATGCAACTGATCATCACATATCATCACTTGTTCCCCATGACAAATGCGTAATCTGAAGATATCTTAAGGATCCATTTTGGGATCTCATGATATCTCATGGCTATCGCCCATGGTTGGACTTCAAGCGTCTTTGCAACCTCCATCCCAGCCATCACCGCCGCCACTGGCACTTCTGCCTGACACTCCGGTGCCCCCACGGCCGATGCGCGCGCCAGTTTCAGGGCCACGGCCGCCGGTATGCGCAACTCGCCAGAGCTGGTGGAAATCTGAGCTTCAAGGCCATCGAAACTGGAAAACTGGCCATTGACCATGCATCCACCGACCTCGGAGCGACGCGAAAATGATGGAAAAACGGCCGCCAGAATATGATGAGTTCTGATGGTCCTAAATTATCCTAAATTGTTGAGTCATACCCTATTTTCGGATTGACTCCGTCTTCTTGATGAACGTGTTTGAACTATGTCCAAAGTTGAGAATCAACAAAAAACGGTGTACGGTGTATGTGCTTGATCCCACTGAGGTCCAAAAACCGCCATCGAAAACTATGAAAAGCTGCTGTTATCGTCACCCGGAGCGAGTGACAAATCCCTTGAGAGCCTTGGAGTCGAGCTTTAATCGATGCACGCGAATCACCGCACGCGCCAAAAAGTCGTGAAGGACCTGTGAACTGATAGCAGTAGTTAGACAAAGGATGGAGAGCCACCTAGCAGCGCTCAAGGATCGTCCTTCAGCGGCTGCTGGGACCACCGTGGAGAAACGGACCATGAAATAGACATGAAATGGAGGCATCGGCCATGACCATGAGGGGGGTATCTTCGACTCATCTTCCGGTTTTTTCAACGGGACACCATTGGATCCATCGATTTTCCCCCCATTTTTTCCACCGGTTTCATCACCTGTCCTCCGAGGCTCAGGGCTCCCCAGAGGCCCAGGAACAAACAGCTGCTGGACAGCGAGCTGCGCAAGATCTCCCTGAGACGAGTGCCTACCGTCCTCCGTTGCGGACTCCGTTGCGGTTGGGGCTGGGGGCCCGGTGCGAGAGGGGCCCCCGGAAAAAAACGAAGAGTTTGTGACCTGGAAAGATCCACCATGTTTTTTAGAGCTAAATCAAGAAATGGATCATTTTCCATAGCTATGTTTGTTTTTTTCTGGAGGGTATAGAGCCACTAAAAAAACATGACGAACCATCATCTGCATCAGGTTTCACCACCTTGTGGTGACATTTTGGGATAATCGACCAATGAATCCGCTGACGGGTGGTTTATAGCCCAACAAAGGTGACCGCCCATGGGGGGTAACCTTTATAGGGGGCTAGCGGGAAATTCTTCAAACTCATGGGCTATCATCCCAGTTCATCCAATTCTTCCAATTCTTGAAAAAACTCTAAAACTCTTTGGAACCAACATCCTGAACCATCATTTACTATATATTATATATATAATATCTATCTCTCTCTCTCTCTCTGCCACATCAACCCAACTTCACCCTGGTTTCCTGAGCCAACGACAACGGTGCCGACCTGCCTGGGCCGTTCTCGTCTTGGCGCTGGCTCCAAGGCCCGAAAGCAGAAGCGGCTGGCAGGGGCTGCGGCCAGGACCAACAGCAGCTCCCAGGCGTGGTGGCGGATCAAAATGCCCACGAGCTCCGTCATCCTCCAGCAGATGGAGATTTCATGGAGCTCGATGGAGCTCGTCTTGTGGATTTCGTGGCCATCATGGAGGCTTGCTTTTTTTTTGATTTACTGGGGATTTCATGGGGGTTTCATGGCATTTTTAGTGGGATTTCGTGGAAATTTAAGATGGGACACGAAAGGACTTTTTTTGCGTGTCTGACAATGTGGCATTTACCCTCCAAATATGGCTACCCTGAGCGACCTAACCCCTGAAATTTGACGGGTCTTGGTGTAAACCCTGGGTACTCATCAATTATTGATCTAAACCTCGGGTTATCTTTATAAACCCTGGGTTTCCACAAAATCCCGGGTCAGCAGTGCTTCAGGTGCCGCACCAAGAGATGTCTGTACTTGATTGGGTGGGATGTGTGTGGTTCCGGTTAGTCATATTTAATCATCATCGTGGATGATATAGACCAATCTAAATGTTAAGCTACAGATAAGATGGAAAGTATCCACACAGCATGGCCATGCATGGCCAATATTAATAGTATACAAGGTATATATAGCCTGAGTGGGTGCATTAAACCTTTCAGCCTCTCTACACCCATACATATAGACTTCGAGCGTTATTGTCATCATTAGCCAAACAGATCCAAACAGTCATGCAGAAAGCAAGACGCATGGATCCCTATCAATTAATATATATTATATGACATCAACTATATATCAAGATTGATCGAGATGATCGAGATGATCCAGTCCATGATGACTCCATGCGTGACAATCTGACAAACAATCCATATCAATCCACTACTCCCTCAAGATTCACACGTGGCGCTGCTGGCAATGGCCACTGTTTTGCGCACAAAGCCAGAATGGTCCGGGATCCCGGAACGGGTGAAAAGGGAAACTCGGGCTGCTGAAGCTTGTCCTGCCAGTTGGATTTGCACAAGTTTTTCTAATCAAACACTCAGTGCCATGCATGTGTACATACGCATGAGTAGCATGGGGGATTCACACTGCATGGATATATATGTATCATGATGGGTTAACTGCTGGCCCCCGTTGACTATTTTGAGCTCAAGCCCCAATGGCAAAAACAAAGAAATCTGAGGTAGAAAACAAAAAACTGCCTGCTGCTAAAAAGCAGGCTGATGGATGTAGCCTCAGTGGGATTGCCCGGGAATGGGATCAAGTCATAGAGGTCAAGGAGAGGCTGCTGGAAGGGGGGAATCCGTTGCACCCCAAGACGCCACCCAAGCAGGAGGACAACAACGTTTGTATCCTCAACAAAGACCTTCTTCTTCCAGTTCTTTCCCGCATGGCTGTGATTTCAAACCGACCCATTCCAACCATTGACGACCTGCGAGATGAGTTCAGCACTCTCTTGATTTTGAGTAAACGTTCAGGGAGTGACACTGTGGGGGTTGTTGAAGAATCTGCCCAAACCATCAAGAAGCTGATCGTCTTTGTGAAAGCCAAAACTCGTAGAAGGGAAGTTTCCACGGTTACTCGGCTGTACTTCCTCACCATGTTGAAAACATAGATCATTGAGTTTAAACGTATATCATATCCCTTATTCCTTCAAAGAACTTGCAATCTCACTTTTTATGATGAGCTTACCATTCATTGGATGTATATAAGTAAAGTGTGCGGTGTGCAGAATTTATGTTCATGTGCCCCGAATCATGGATGATATGTTTTACTAAGGAATGATCCGCGTTGGCTATTTCTTGTTTTACATTTGTTAGGCACACTAACTTCAGAGAAATTCTACAAGATTGTCTTAACTAAAGGTTCGTAACACTGGCTTTGGCACTGACATTTGAGGCACCTGATTTCCAAGATCTCTGCCTGGCTTTGGACCCAATGCTCCAGGCTGATTGAAGTCCTTTACTTGCACCATACAAACATGTTAGCTCGCTGCTTCGTGTTCATTACTGGACCAAGGGTGAAATATTGCCAGTATGTTTTATGGCTTTCCAATGACTGATTTCCAACATCTTGCACTCAATGTGTTTCCCTTTCCTGTTTTTTGAATGGTTTGGATTTCTGGGTTGTCGAGCAATTCTTCAACTTCCATAGCCGACGGCCACGCACAGGCAAATGTCGACGCGATCAATGCAAAGCGGAAAGCCAAAGTCTCTTGACCATGGGAACATGCCATTGCAAGTGGCTTACTTGAGTTTGGGTATAATAACATGTACAGCAATATGTTTGTGTATGATTTTGATACATCGATGTTTTGACGCTCATCTAGCTTTGTTAGAATAGAAAACCATTTCAGTTTTCCTGGCAATGGTGTGTATGGTTACACTTAGGTTTTGCACGAAGCATCAAAGGATGAGGATGCCTGGGAAGAGGGGGGCGGGAAAGGAGAGGAAGATGGAGAAGAGGAAGAGAAAACAGATGACCCACCCGTTGACCCTGGGATGATGACTGCAAAGGATGAAATGGAAACACATGAGGATAAACCAAATGCAGATACCACAGAAGAACCAGAAGAAACGAAAACGAATGCACCGCCCCCAGAGAAGAAACCTTCTCCTCCAGCTGTTTTGGCATTGCCAGCACCTGAAGGGTCACCTGAAGCCACTGTACCCCCTCAGCCTTCAGTTTCGCTTCCTGAGACGAAGAGCAGCTAGTTAGCAACAGAGATTGTGAGGTTCCTTGTTGTTCAGCCAGGGTTGAAGCATCCAAAAAAATGTTGTTGTTGTTGTTATTGTTGTTGTTATTGTTGTTGTTATTGTTGTTGTTGTTGTTGTTTGTTTAATGCGCATGTTTGTCCATGGATGGTTGTCTTCTTGCTTGAGGTGCGTTCTGGTTTATGGGTCAATACAAGACGTGTACACAAAGATACAACAGCATCATGTCCTTGCCCCCGCATGATCAGGTAATGAAGAACTCGATGCGCTGCAGCGCAAAAGATCTGAAATTGCTGCAAAGCTAGCTAGGTTTTTTGGCAGCGATATATGTTTGCACCTTATCTAGTGCTTGTTCAAAGGTAACATGTTTCATATTATTTGGTTTCACTGGTCCCAGTAACTTCCAAGGTCAATGGTTACTGTATTATATGAACTTATCCGTGATGCTTCGAAGTAGGATACCATAAAAATGAAATGCCAATGCAGAGACATGCAGAGACACCAAAACTTATGGGTCCACAACACCCCTGTGATTCCCTCATCCCTATTTTGCTAAGGATTCGTGAGATGAAAGCAAGGCGAGAAGCTTCATTGTCTCCACCAGTGTCATCTGGCCCCGGAGAAGGCGCATGCGGCTTTGACAGATACCTCAAACCAGTAGAGATGATTAGTTATAGCTATACATCTGATATGTATCTCTTGGGTAAATATATATACATCACATTAGCGAAGTACATGAACATTGCCTTCATTGTTTTGGTTTGTTTCCATCTTGGTTTTCTCTGATTTGAGATTCATTGAATGTGGTTTCTTTTCACTTAGTTTTCTCTATATAGCCAATGGCAGGAGATGGCAGAGCCGGTCCTGTTGCCAACGACCTGCAAGATACTTTGCCAACAGATGTTATGACCTTGCCCGTACCTCCAGAACCGAAAGTCACCTTCTCACCTGACATTCCAACGAGTTCGAAACGTGAAGCATTTCAAAGACAGGGAAAGCCAAAGAAAAACACACAAGAATTGGACAAAAAGCTTTGCAGTGACAGCCTGACCAAGGAAGATGGACCGCCAGAAGGGATTGTTGACCAACCGGCCGAGGAAATGGTTTCAAAACGCAAGGTGAAGAAGGTTGAGTGCAAAGATGATGTGAAGGCTGGGACCCGGGGAAATAAGGATGCATATATAGACCTTCAGTGTCCATGTGGATGGTTATGCTGCATATATGTTTGCTTTTCTGCAATTGTTTGATGTTCAAACTTCATAAATTCGTTTCATGACATGTTAGGTCAAAGATGAGGAGCCTTACATCAGAAGACAGGATCAACTCAACATGAAGCCAGACAAAACCAGGGGGAGAGGCCGAGGCAGAGGAGGAAGGGGGGGACGCACAGGTAGGGGACGGAGTGGTGGAACAAAGACCAAAATCGACAAGTCTGGGCAGTCGCCGGATGATACTTGGTGGAAGAAGTTTTGGGAAAGTGAGTGGGGAGAGGATGGGGAAGAATGGGGAACTGAAGGGTGGGGAGAAACAGGTTACTATTGGGATGGGTATGCCTGGCTGGACGGGCAAGAATCTTTGCACAAAATCGAAACTACAGACACAAGCAATGCATCGGACAGTAGCAAAGCAAGAGCATCAACAAAGGAGATTGCAGAAGCAGATCACAACACGAGCAAGAAGAAGAAGAAGAAGAAGAAGACAGACACAACAACAGAGACACCTGCATCGAACCCTTCGCACAAGAAGCGCAAGCAGAAAGAGGATCCACAGCAGGACAAAGAGGCTTTAGATGTGCCAAAGCGTAAGCAACGAAGGACACCTGCAGCAGCCGAAGAAGAGCCAGAGCCCACAAAGAGTGAAGACATCAAAGCACTCAAGAAGTTCCACAAGCTTTACAAGGATTATGAAGACACAGAAGCAAGCAAAGAAATGAGACAAGAGATCATGTCCAAGATCAAACGTGATGAAATGGTAGAGTGCCGACTCAATGTTTACTGGCACGTTCCTTCATGCGGTGTCACTTACAAGAAAGACAAGAAAGACATAGCATACTTTGGATACAATTGGATTGAGGGTATCAGCTATATGCATTCGCTTGCCTTAGCCTTGAAGTCTGCAGAACTTTTTGTAACTTGGGTGCATGGACGGTTTACTTCTGATGCAAATTTGTTTGTTGCCAAAACAGTCTTGAGAGTATAGCGCACGTCAATGATTTTAATCGATGCTTTCACCTTCATGTATGCGTGTGCATGTAACCCAGTCAATCATACCACATCATACCAGTCATCAGCCTAGGCACTCTCGATTGAGACGGCCGTGAACACTGGTGAGATCAAAAGAAAGCACTTGGTGAAAGATGGTAAGTGGTGTGTCAAACGCGCTAGCTCTTTGAAAGAGGCAGTCAAAGTTGTATGTGGCGTTGCTTCCTAGTTTTGTTGGGGGGTTGCTTTAGATTTTGGTTATACCAAATCTGCCTTGATCCATTCGCATCACTGCTGGCTGTGTGAAATGAAAAGGTCAGTCTAGCCAAAATAACTGGCTTCAGCGGGTTCACACAAATATCAGCTTAGGCTGTGCGATGTGTCGTGCGAGCAGTTGTGGCGATAGAATGAACCATACCCATCCTTCAACACTATTGCTCAATCATTATAGCTTTCAAGACAGGGTACTATATATAGTCCTACCCACATTCATGATGAATATTATTCTTATCATCAGCCATCATGCGTCTTTCAATTTCCTGTCACAGCTGCGCACTACCGGCAGATCCTTTTAAATGATTCAAGGCTTGTGGTGAATTTTGATGGGTGTACCTATATATCAAATATATCGAATCCATTTTGTTTGAATACTTCTGAGAATGGATGATTATAACTAGTGTTCTTTAATCTTGAAGCATCTATGGATCACAAGCTCTTGGAACGACAGGGTATTCCACACCCCAAAGCGTCCTTATCAAGGATCGGGATCAGCAATCGAGACCTGCGGCAGACATCGGCAACCGACCGTGGTTAAAAAATGCGCCATCAATTGGCCATCCCTGAGAGTTATTATGGCTTTGTTTTTCGAAGTGTTGATGTCTGGATCCATTGGAATGGGCTAGGGTCAACTACTGATCTGGAAATAAACAACAAGTTCAAGTGATGTGTGTTGTTTCTCTCTCTCTCTCTCACTCTCTGCAGCACGTTCTCTTTGAATGTTTTTGTCATCAATATACAGCATTCCCATTGCAGGTTTTGATTCTTTGACTATGCTTTGAACTGACGATCCCCCCTTCAATCATCAGTGCATATCAACACACACCTGCAAAGACTGAGCCACATTTCCCCAACTGAAGATAGCCAAGGTTCACCACATGATTTATTTGATATATACAGAATTGCCTAAACTATCTGTATTTAGCAGCCCGCTTTGCCCAGGTCAACTGATGGTCGTGGATGGCCTCCGGAAGCTCAAGCAAGGGCGGGGCCTGTGGCGAGTGCGGGTCAACACATTGAAGAGGGCCTGTATCCCATGGCATGTTTTCAGGGTTGTAGGTCCATCATTCTCTTTGCAAGATCTTCTGTGGTTGAAATTCGGTGGCCACATGTGGAGTAAAACCAAAAACACACATGTATATATAGATTTGCATGGGATCAATGATAATGATGGATATATACAGAGGTTAATTAAACAATAACAGAATCCCATGTGGAACTTCAATGGTGTGGTTTGGATTGCATGAAACAAGTCGTGAAATGCACTTCCTTCGCAGCCTTTTTCACAAAAATGACCATTGGCCTAAAGCTATCATTCCCTTTCCATCATGCACGCAGACACGCACACGCAGACCAACAGCACTTGATGGCGCTGAGGCTTTCTGGTTTCTCTATAGATGCTGCACTTTTGGGTATCACCATTTGGCATAATGGTTGGGCAATGTTGGGTATTTTAACAAACATATATGTTTAGGGCATTTTCTCTCACCCAGTCGGTTGCTGCAATGGCGTGGCTCGATGACCTGATTTGGCGGTTGTACAAGCTGAAATGTCCCAAGGAACATTTGCCATTCTTGGTCATTTCATGTTTTGTATCTCTTAAGCTATGTACCTTGTTTCTGCAAATATACACGCATTCAAGTCACATTATATTTCAATGATAAATGGTTTCAACTATGATGGGTACATGGCAATAGAATCAGGTTTATCCAAATGGATGGTGTTAGAACATATTACCACTATAGGCCCTCATATCCCTGGAGCTTCACCAGCTACGCTGCCTCGGCAGGAGTTCGTCTTCTGCATCCTCCTGATTCTTTGGCAGGGCTTTGACATGGATGAGGCATCATTTGGTGGGGTATGGCTTTCACGTGGTTGAGATCTATCTTTAACAATAACTATTGCAATTGATGATGGTATTCATGGTGCAGGTATGTGCAGGTGAAACATATTCAGGATAGATTTCGAACATTGAGTCTGGAAGAAAACCCAAAACCATAATGAAAAAAGATATGGTAAGTTTGATCCCAATACCGTTTGGTCCCAGGAGATCGACTACATTGAGTACTTTGCCGGAGTCGGCAACATCTCGAAACATATGAGATCTGCCAGGTACCGGGTTGCAAGGCTGGATATCAAAGACCACACTCCCGATGACCCGAAGAGAACAAACTATATGGACCTGAACAGTTCATCAGGATACGCGTTTCTTTGACTGTGTTGTTTGCATTGCCGTCGAAGCTTTGTTTGGGGATAGTCTATTGTATATACTGGTCTTTTATGGTATGATGATCCCTATATGGTTTATATATATTAGTAATATGGGCAACTAGCTTAAGGTCTATGTACTTTGAATAGTATTTTGGTTTACGTTCCTGATATCCGACTGATGATGATATTGCATTGGGGTGATTCAGAAACAGTGAGGCTAGCAATCCTGATAATGCTGAAGGGGGTGGGCGGCAACTTTGCTGCCCACTTTGGCATCAAGTGCAGCAGTTTCTGCAAAGTCAATGTGGGTACGTCTATGAGGTCAGCCTGCACTGCCATGGGCTTCACCGACTATGAGTCGGTGTTTTCTTCCAACAAGCTGTTGGAAAGGATTCCCCGGATCAATGTTGAAATGTGATGTTGCTTTTTTTAAATTCGGTTGATGATATAGATCGGTGTTAAACCAGATCATCTGATCATAAATATCATGGCATATACTTCAAGACACCCCGATTTCAGTATTTGCTACCATTTAGCCCCAGCCCCAGGACTTGCACTTTGGTGGCTCTTTGCACGGCGCTCGGAGGGGCATGGACATTGGAGCAACCAGCAGGATCACTGCTTGAATTTTATCCTACTTGGCGATTTATCCTGATGATGATCTGTCTAAACGGAGGACCAAGAGCAGCCACTTCCTTAGATACAGTATTTGATATGTTTGAATCTTGTGAGATTAAAACCAATGACACATCCCAAATATCCTCACACAAATATAGCCATGTGCGCATGTTCAACTGTTAGTGCTGCTGTTTGGTTTTTACATTTGTTACTGATCAGCATCGAGAATATTAGAATTATAGCCCATGCTTTTGGTGGGTCACTCATGCAGCTTAAGAAGTTCATTAGTTGGACATGAATGATTGCATAAAGCCTAGGTCACCACGGTGAGGTGGTGGATGAGACACTATGACAGTCACACAGCCAAACGTCACATTGGCTTCGCGAATTCACCAGCAGTGGCTAAACTGGATAAAGGTCGTCTTTCTATGGCTGGGTTTGGTCGCAACTCAAAGATTAAGACTTGTGAGAAGTACCGTGATGGTGCCGGCAAGCTTCGTTACAAGGGTACATCTCATTTGAAATCAACTGAGTTACTTGGCTGCTGTTGCTCACAAGGAATGCTATCGTGCTATCATATGATTGATGATCATCTGAATGTTGTTTGAAGCTTATTGCATTATTGGCTATCATAATTTAATCCCCTTCAAGATCATATATGATGTTAATGATCGATCCTTATCAAAGGTTATACTTTCTGTTTTTGAAACTTATGACCACAAAATAGATATGGAAACCATCAGTCATTGATGTACCTGATGTACATGTCTCCGACTCTTGCCGGCCAGGGTGTATCCACACCGCTTTGCCCGGGCTGTCCTGGACATTGTCGAGACGTTGAAAGCCACATGCCGGGGCCAGCCTCAGATCACCCATGGACAGACCCCTTTGGCGACTGAGACGATGCAGCTGACATGGGATCATGATAAAGATCTTTGGGAATTTGTTGATTTCGAAGAACTGTTTGTTTATTTGAGGGGGTCCAAAAACTTGAGGATCCCTGATTGTTGGAAAGATATCATTCCAAGAAGGATTCCGAAGTAGAACCTTGGTTCCTTAGTTCCGATTTGGCACTGGGTTTCCAGAAAAACAGGTATTCACTTAAGTTTTTTCGACTTTTTTACAGTTTTTTCCAGGAAAAAGCAGGGTCGAACCAAAAATATAATACGAACCCGTGATCAACCCATGTTTTACCCGTGACAACCCATGTTTTTTTGCGTGAAACCCAGGGTTTGGAAGTGGAAACCCAGGGTTATCATACAAACCCAGGGTTTTGCCGAACCCGTGACGAACCCGTGATTAACCCGTGATTTACCCATGACGACCCGTGATAAAAAACACGGGTTGAAGCCCCAAAAATCGACTCAAAATTTACCTAGTTTTTTGGTGATTTTTGTATCGCTGGATCGGCAGAACCCTGGAAATTCGAACATCAGAATGGATGTTTCCGATAAATTAGAGCTTGGATTCATCAGTCCAAGACATCATGCTCATGCATGAACAAAACTGCGTGGGTTTGTGAAAAAATGTTTGGAGTGAATTCCTTTTTTTCCAGTACGACTGCAAGAGATTGATATTCACCCAAGGTGGTAAAACAATCTTATAATGATAATGATGATGATGATCATCGTACGGGATGTCAAACATGGAACTCCAATAATGATTCGGGTAACCTTTGCTAATTGAGATTATTCTGAAGCCATTTTGTATACAGTTTGGAAGGCGTGCTAAAAGCTCGCTTAGTGGCATGTCCGGTCAACCATCCTCTGCCTCCAACCTGTGGAGCTGTGCTAGCTTGACTGATGGCGCAAGCTTATGGGGATGATGAAGAGCAGCGGCTCTTGCAAGAACTGCAGGACTTCCAACTTCGCACTCCATGGTTAAACCACCAACATGTTATGACAGCATCATGTTATTTTGGAGGTTGGTTCATTTGTTTATATATGATGATCATGCTATAAACATCAGAAGTTGAAATGGAGACATGTGGATGCCCTTATGGCAAATCATCATTATGATTTTCTCTAAGACTATATGAGTATATATATATATAATTATATATATGAATTTACACTCCAACCGATCATCAACCAGTGTTCACAGAGTTTGCTTCAGGAGCTTGATAACCAAATCGTCAAGACCAAGGGGGATGATGTTTCATCTTCACCCGCCGGGGTCCTAGCACTTACATGGTTCAATGTTGAATATACATGGACAATCATCCCAGCCACCCGTAACAAGGCGGAGCCCCAGACACCTTCCGTCGAGACGCAAGCAACTGTTCCAGTCCAGGCCTTGGCAATGCAGACCGTGCATTCAGTCATGTTAAGTGGCATACATAGATTTTAAACCAAGTGGTGGCCTGAGGCCACGGAAGAAGAGTTAGCCCTGGCCCAAGCCGAAGGTATCCAGCAGTCAGGGGACCAGGTGACTCAACTTATGAGGTTGGACATGTTATGACCAATGCTGGTTTTCGTAAACCTTATAATCACTCAACATCTCTATATAAAGTGATCTTATGGTGATATAAGATGCCAATCTAATGTTGATACATCTGGAACCTCCTGATCCATGTTGAGCACTCCTAAGGAAAAAGATGAAAAAGGTGCCAATGTGCCAACTGGTGCAGCAGTTGCGACACCTGTTCGCAAACGAACTTTGGAGCCCCAAAGATCTCCAGATGCTTCTCATGCTAAGAAGTCTGATAGTGAACCCGGGGTTGTGCCTAGCTCTTCAGAGACTTCAGCTGTTGATGGTCAACCCGATCAGCCCAAGAAGATCCCAAAGATCATGGCGGGAGGTTTGACAGACCGTCAGGCTGGTTCTTTGGGGGGACCTTAAATCATAATAGGGTATGTTTTTTAAGCTTTTCCAGGCCCTACAATGTTATAGGCATGCAGTACACTTGCATACTATGATAATCATATGCATTTGTTTGTTTTAAAATGGAATGACCCTATGAAGAGTTTAGACATAGCAGTACTGATTTGCCATGTATAAATCATTGATGGGTTTTACCATTTCTTCGATCATTTAAAGCCATATTACATATATATGATTATAATCATAGTACTATATATAACTATTCCATGTGGAATCCCTGGAACCCTGAAGTTCAAGTTGCGGAGAGCGGCAAAGGCTAGGGTGGACAGAATGGTCAAACCCCATGGATCTCGCACATGGCTTAATGTCCCTGAATGGTTGCGTGCCGAGTGGAAGTCTGGAAACAAAGATGAGATTGCAGATGTTCTTTGCAACTGCAATTTCCAGAAGGATACCAATGGTTTGGCGGGATGTTGGTTTAAGGCATCAATGTTTTTTTATGCTCAGTGATTGTTCAACAAATGGGTTTATACCAACGAAAGAAATTTAAACATATTGTATCGATCATTCTATATATATATGTGTGTGTGAATGGTTACAATCATATATATATATATCAATTATATCACCTGTACGCAGGACAACTTCATCGCGACCATGCAAGTCTTGGTGACCAAAAAGCAGAAGGTCATGGTGAAGAAACAGGAGGGCTGGTACTCAGCCGATGAAATGAAAGCCGATTTGGCGTGGAGTGCGTAGGGATCTCAATTATGTTAAGGCACCATTCATTCATACGCATGCTAGACGAGATTCAACTCTGGCTTGGGACTTGTAAAGATCCTATGGGTCTTAACCAACTGCACAGCTGAGGTCCAAGGTCAAAGGCGCAATTGCCAAGTGTGAAGCTATGGGTGATAGCCATGTGAGGCCGGCACAAACCAAAACCATCTTTGATTTTATGGTTGTGGGTGTATGTCTTCTGCATATTGATTTTTCCATCTATATATAATTACAATTGGGTATAATCATCCAACGGATTATGTTCATCAACATGTATCATACTGAATTACCAGCATCAAATAATGAGCATAAAACCATTGGTAAACTGAAGCGGTATGTACTGCAGTGTCACTTAGCCTGTCGCAGGCGCAATGCCTATGATGGTGTTCAGGAGTACTGGGTGACTGTTCGAGAATCTGGTGAGCGCACCACAGAGACCAGCTACGAAGAGCATCACCAGAAAACCGCCAAGGCCCCCCACTGAACCATTGATGGCTTTAGATCCCAGCTTGAACTCTATGAAGATTTCCTTGCGGCAGGCTTCAGAGGACCCCAAGTTCAACATGCAGGGAGATCGCTTCGCTGACTTGGCTTTGGTTGACAAGCGTGCGGAGTCTGAAGCTAATCTTGCTAAGGATGACCCAAACTCTGACCGTTATGCGCAGGATTGGTCCTGTAAAAACTTGGGTTGGTATATATGTATGGTGGTTGATCCTATTTGTCGCATTTTATCCCTGTGTTTCTCAACTTGCTTTTGCTGTAAAGGAGTGTAATTCATCAATGGTTTATCAAATGGTCATTCAACATTATGATTTATCATAATGTGATGCTGTATTGAGAGCCCATATCATTTATAATCCTTTATATATGCATGATGAAACTTGAAACTCCAGAAAACCCATCTTGGCCCCTGCAAGGTTCAGAATGATCTCAGGCGATTCCTCGATTCAATCATGTCTAAACCGGGGAAGTTACGGAGCCTGGTTCGGGAGCTCAAGAACAACTACACGAAAGATGCTGCTGCGTGTCAGTAGCTTGCTTCAATATTCACACACCAGATCTTAAGGAAAATGCATCAATGAAACATATATATAACGATTATATATATATATATATATCTTATATATGACTACAATCTCATGCTTGGGAACCAGGTCGAATATAACCATGATTTGGATGGTTCAATGCAATCTGATGCCCAGGTGCCTTCCAGCCTTGGAGGTCGCTATCAAGGATGTGGATGGTGCGTTTGATTCCTGCAACGAAGCTTGGGCCCGTGGGGAAGCTGACAAGTTCAGGTCCAACGAGTTACTTGTTTGAAGTACTGTCACTGTTCATCCTGAAAACTAACAAATGTTTTTTTTCATTGTGAGATCCAAACAAGTGTACCGAATCTTGGAATGGTTTACCATTTAACTTCCAGACCCTGGTGTTTTGTGAACACGTGAGGTTCATGAAAATGGCAGAGGAACGAATGAAGAAGGCAACATTCCTGTGCCAACCTCAAATCATGTTCATGTATCTGGTGAAGATCAAATCTAGATTGCATCATTGATAAAGATTATATGTAGTATACCATCTCTTTGTTTCTGTGATTTTCTATTGAACCAGTTTCCCACATGATACAGTGGATGCTCAATGACCTTATCCACAGGTGTAGCAAAGCTTTGGCCGTGGAAAACAAAGTGAGGAGCCCACGAGTTTGTGGTTTGCAGTTTCCATCATGCATTGGATATCATTGGATGATATTGCTCATCCCTGTCTAAAACACATAGATTTCAATCATAATCATGCATCTGATATAGCTGTAAGGGCTGCATGGGTGCACGCACGCATGGAACCGGATTCATCAAAACAAACAGTCATGATAATTCTTGATAATGTTATTGTTAACTTATTCAATTGCACCCTGCACTTTGATCAATGCATCCATGCAGGAACGCGAAGCGCTACTACACCAAAGACAAGACTTCTGGTCAGCCCGGAGGCTCTGCTGATGGCAAGTCAGCCAGCAGCAAGGCGCGAGCTAAGAAGCCAGTGAAGGCGAAGAAGGCCAAAAAAGAAAAGGCCTAATTCCAGTTAGCATATCTTGATAATTTTGATGGCTGAGTGGACCAAATCGATCCACCACGTGACACATGACCTGAAATGCTTAAGGGCTTTGCACCTACACACTGGCTTCAAGAAAGTATCTTAACATGTGTATGGTTTTGGTTAGATCGGTGCATCAATCAAAAATAAACCGGATACCATATTTAAAAAAAAAAAACAAGTTGAATATCCTTCCTTTACAAGTATCAGCATATCATATATGTTTGATGATCATCATTTGCCAGTGTGAGTGTGCAGCAGCCATGTGTTTCAATTGGCCTCCAGGGGTTGTGGGGATAGAAAGCTTGAAGCAACATGCTCATCCCAAACCAGTCCTCTTTGCCGCCGATGCTTCCGGCTGATTGCAATGAACCTGGCAGCCAGGGTGCGAGTGCTGTCGGGGTGCATCATGGTGAAAAGGTTGCTGGTGATGATATACTCTAGTGGATCAATCTATTACATTGAATAGCGTTGAAGTGATTGCAGAAAGAAAGATGAAAAGATCATTTAAATTCAAGTCCATGGAAATCTCATTAGATAGGGTGGTGATGACTGGTGAACCCTGCATGCAGTAGACAAGTAGACATAGCTTAGTTGCATCGGTTTTTCCAAACATCTCCAGAGATTGCTTATCAACCAAAAACTCCATCCCAGAGCATCTATCAGAGATTTGGTGATTGTCTTAATACCCTCTGCCCATGCCAGGTCGGCCTGCTGGCAATGCGTTGCGAAGCTTCAGTGCTGATGTCGGCCAAGGAGTCCACACCTCAATGCCAGTTGGAACATGTTGGACTCACACTTGCTGGAAACCCTTGGAAACTATAGTTGTTTAATTTGTCATAAACCATTTCAAGATCAAGTCATGAACATTGCTTTCTGAACCGCAGCATCAATGGGTTTTTCAAAAAACACGCTATGAGTAATGATTTCCGGATGCCGTGTATTCGACCATGTCTTGTATATAGCTGATGCCATCGGGTAATGATGAAGATGACTGGCTAGTCGAGTTGATATCCTCCCATCGGAATGTTTTTTGACCGCAACTGCTTCGTGCCCATTCCTTTTCTTTGTTTTTTGTACTTGCCCCCATGTTGGTCGACTGGTTTAGTTTATTATCAATTTAGTATTCGCGCATGCATGTATATAAGAAAGATGTCTATAATTTTAATTGGATATATAAATATAAAACAAATATGTTTTTGATGATCACATGTCATATCCCATTCCCTCAACCCTTTTGAAAGCTGACAAGGATGATGCATATCCTTTTCCATGGACAACATCATCCAATGTTCAGACTGTAGATGGTGCCTCCAATCCCACACCAGAAACTGGCAAACGAAAAATCGATCACTGCCACACCACTGCTGTGAATCACAAGGGCCCCACTTTGTGGACTCGACGTTTGTCGGACTACATGGACCGCTATCCCAACATGAAGGATCTCCACAAACGAATTGATGATTTGTACCCAGAACAAATTGTGTTTCATCTACCACACGTGGATGCCTTATCTGGAAATGTTTTGCGGCACTCAATCGCTATATTGGAAGACTTGATCGCGGCAGAGTCGCCGGTCATGTTTAAGGTGGGATTTACACATAATCCCGTGTGGCGTTGGGACAATGCCATCTACGGCTACTCCACTAGTCGAGAACGATGGAGTAAAATGGTTGTGGTGCACATCTCCCCTGAACGACATGGACCGGCCATGCTAGAAGCGGCCCTCATCGAAAAATTTCAAAGTGCCTTACATGAACCAAAACAGTAGCATGTTTTTTTTGGGGGTGGTGCTAGTGCCCCGTGACCATGAACCGGAAACAACCTTTAACCCCCAGTGTGTCCAAGGTACGTATGGATGCAAGAACGAAAAACGTGGGGGCGATACGTGCAATGGCGAATCCTCAGAGTGGCAGCTCTACATGGTCTATTTTGTATATAGGTCTTTTAAGTTTCCACCACCTGTAAAACAGCGTGTGTAAGAAGTTTGCCCTGCGATGCTTTTTGGCATCTTGGAAAGGGAGAAAGGCCAAAAACATCTAAGCCCAATAGCGGTTTGGAACCTTGTGCAAAAAATGGAAAAATCACAAACTTTCTTCGTTTGACTCTCTCCCCTGCGTAACCCAAAACCAACCTCTATTAAAATCCTTGGATGTCCAACGGAGATCCAAACACAACCCAGCGATAGTAGTGTTATCATTATATATTATTGATATATATAGTTGCAACTATATGTGCAATTGTATCCTGTGGTTGCACATGCCCATTTAGCTCTGATATGCATGGTGCCCGTGCCAAGTACGCGCATCTTGATGAATTATTTTGTGCTGTGCTGCCCGCTTCGCCGAGGCATCCTGCGCTGCTGTGGTGAGGGCGGCGAAAGGGTTTGTACAGGATGTTGGTGAAACAGCTGCGTCGCGGTCAGGTGGCCTCTTGCAGCTAGCCCAAAGGGGTGATTCACAAGCTGAGCGAGATTGCCATCGCCTAATGGTTGGTCAGTATCAGTTATCCTTGCCCGTGCATCAAACGACTCTCAAGATACAAGCTGGTCCAGTTCCTGTTTTGCGTTTGAAGGATTGGGCACAGTTTCTGATCAATGGGAATCACAGCCACATTCTGGTCGGTCTAGTGCGTCCAGATTGGCGCCGGGAAGAAGCCATTTTGGATAGCTTCTGGAAACGCTTTCGCTCTCAGTTTCCAGGTCACCCAATATTTCAAGAAGCCGATCAGAATAAACTGCAACTGTGCAAGACGTACCCGATGTTGTTCCACGGAGATGAAGGTCGTGGAAGGAAGCATGCTGCTTATTTAGTGATGAATTTTCATTCAATTTTGGGCCGTGGAATCGGCAGAAGCCACAGGCAGAAACCCATTCCTTGGCTCAAAATGCTGCCGAATTACCATGGATCTTCGCTGACAACACGTTTTCTTTACACGGCTTTACCAAAGACGTTGTACTCGGGGTGCAATGAGCAAGTTTTTGCAGACATCCTGGACTTTGCAGCGAAAGACATCCAGCATATGTTTTTTGAAGGCGTGGTTGACGAAGTTGCCAACCGGGGCAAGTTTCACATGTGTGTGATCAATGTCACAGGGGACTGGCCATGGCTAGTTGACGCTGGTTCTTTAGCAAGGAGCTTCCGGAATGTTCAAAAACACAAAACTCAATCCAGACCTGGCATTGGCGTGTGTCACTTATGCGCTGCGGGTCGGCCTGGATATGATTTCGAGCAAATCAACACTTTGCAGCCGACTTGGCTGGAGACCATGCATGCCTTGTCCCCATTTGCTGATGATTCAAGCCCTTCGCCTTTCTTCCACATCCCGCACATCCAAGGGGAAGTGGGTGCATTATTTCAATTCGATGTGTTTCACACATGCCACCTTGGCGTGTGCAAGGCCTTTCTAGGAAGCGCCTTGGCGCTGCTGTCAGAGGCTGAAGCTGGTACAAACTCTGATGTTCGCTTCCAAACACTTACAGACAAATACTTGTCCTGGTGTCGCGAAGCAAAGAGGCGGCCATGGGTCACCAAATTGACGAGAGATCTCATTGGATGGCCAGCCTCCACATCATTCCCCAACGGTACTTGGCATAAAGGAGATTTGAGTACAACGTTGATGTTGTTTGTGCAAGTTCAATTTGAACGATATGGCGACTCTTGGTCGCCCATGCTCCAAGAAGCCGGAGCAGCGTGTGTCTCTTTGAACATGTTCTTACAAAAGCTGTACGCGGAGGATGTGTGGGTGACGCCGCGTGCTGCTAGACAGATTTTGGACCATGGTTTTGATTTTTTGGTGCGCTACGTGCGTCTTGCCCGGATGGCACATCAACAAGGCCTTTTGTTGTGGGTGCTGCAACCCAAGCTGCACGCTTTCCACCACTTGATCTTTCAGATGCGCCCTACGTCCAGCAATGCATTGGTGATTAACATTGTGTGCTTCGGTACACAGCAAGACGAAGACTTCATATCAAAACCTAGCCGTCTCAGCCGAAGAGTTTCACCCAAACCGATTTCTGCATGTGAACGCGTTGTCCAGCGGTACCTGCAAGCTGCCTTTGCGCAGTGGGTCAAGCAAGGGTACATAACACAGCCAAAGCCTGGAGCGGTTTGACTTATAAGCATATATTATATATTGAACTTGAGCATCCTAGGCGAAGTGCATCGATTTTTCCAGCATTGCACACACGTGAATATTGTTGGTCTATATATATACCTATTTTTTCACACATATCGCTGGGTTGTGCGGATGAACATTGATGGTTTATACTATATGTTTTACTTAACTAATCTTAACTACAGTGTGGCTCCAGGCTGAGGCATGCACCATCCAGCCAGCACATGGTCTCCGCAACTTTGAGCAGGAAAACATCACATCTGTGTAGTGGGCGGGTGACCCCAGAATGTCAAAACCCTGGTTTTAGTTTTCAAACCCTGGGTCTCAGAACAAACCCTGCGAATTTCAAAGGTCTGGTAGGACAAGGTACTTTAAGAAGGACAAAGACGATCAGCCGCGATCAACCATGGGATGTAGGGACACACACTGTAAAAAAAACCATGTACTGTCTGAGGATGGGGATGGCGGGATAACATCTTCCTAATAAGGTCCTAATACATCAGCGCATTTCTGGGTCGGATCTTCCTACTACATGAAAAACATGTCCCTATCTAACCAAATTTGAAGAGATCCAAGACGAAATGATGTTCTTTTTGGGGGATGGGGGGATGGGGGGAGGGGAAATTGATGGAAGGGCTTCGGGAGATATCGCATTCAAAAACTGGCTCTGAGATGTTCTGAGGCATTGTCTTCCGGTCAAAGGAGGAGACCCAGGACGCCAACCTGGAATCTCAAATAATCATCTATGAATATATAATAAAGCTGTAGAAATGTGCACTGTGGACGGATATATATTTGAATTAAATCGTAGATTAATATCTATTCAATAATCTATTTAATTTAATCAATATATAATTAAATCGTCAATGAAGCTGTAGAAATGTGCACTGTGGACAGATAGACCCTCAACAGCTTCCATCATTTGCTATCCTAATCATAGGCCGTGGATGGCCGTGGGTCAAAGTCTTCAGACTCGCTGGGAATGAAGCTACTGCTGCGAGGTTCCTGGGAGATCTGATGAGTTGATGCTGTCCCAAGGGCTGGAAAAAGTGAATTGGATGTTGCATGTCTATTTCTCTGGGGCCACCGCCTTAAGCTCTTCATAAGCTCTTCAAACTAAAGAAAAATGTGCAATTTGCCTATTCTAACCTAATTTCTTGATGGTTTTCTTGACATCTTCCTCGGCTTCCGGGTTGGCTTCAAAACCAAGAAACCAGCCAGCCATGGAGGCGACAGGGCCCAGAAAGGGGCCCATGAGCTTCAAGGCGCGATTGCTGGTCATGAAGGATGCGTTAAATGGAATGAAGGGTAAAAGCCTGGCAGCTTGGCTGGTCTCGATGTTTGGTCCTCCATGATTTGCTTGTATTCATATTATTTCTTCCGTTCTCAAGGTTTTCTTGAGTCTCATGACAATGTACAAAATGTGTGATCTCATTCAAAACGATTGGCTTGGTGAGGTTGGGGGGACCCCTCAAATCAAGCACCATGAAATGCGGTCTGTTCCCCACATGTTGGTCACACCCGCTCCGAGCAACAAACATCAACAAACTATACCTCCGATCCTGCTGGCCACTGGTGGTAGTGCTTCCACAGCCAAACGAGCTGCGAAAAAGCCCTGCGCCGCAGTGACCGCGAAGCGGCTGAAATCTCCTGCCGCCAGGAGGATGGCAGCCGCGCGATTCCTTCGCGCAGGGGGGAGTACCATCTGCGGCCCTTCAAATAAAGAAATCTGATGACTAAGACAAGATAAGGCAAGGGTTTCTGGGGGGTAGGAAAGATTGAAAAATTGGGGGGATGGGAGTATACCAAAATTCATGCATAGAAGCGCACAGAAGAATCCAACTGACAAGCTATTGTTTCTTCTCATAAGAGCCCTTTCATGGCTAGGGCAGTGATGGGCAAACAGGGGATCATACGGCCAGGCTCGTAAACGGTGACCAGGCATCGATGCCTGGTCCGAGTTGTCTGAGTCGATGCATCTCTTTGTACGTGTCAAAATATGATTTTGGTGACGGACAGGGAGTGCAAGGGCCATAACGATAGTTAAATACATGTTATACACTGGGTGTATAAACCAACCAACTGGGGCCTCACCTTGTAGGTACTGTACACGATGGGACTTGCTTGGCGGTATCTCTACATCGGCTGAATTGGCCCCCAAGAATACAACCATGGTCCACTTTGGGGGAAATCCCGGTGATTGGAGTAGTTCCTGCAACAGCCATACCAATCTCAACCAATCTCAATCAACTGTTCTATCCTCCGGTAATCACAAATGGCAATGGGAAACCCCGTCCAAATGCATCTAAATGCAATGTTCAACGGGAAAATCATCATCTATATAAATGGAAGTCTTAATGGGAAAATCATCTATAAATGGACATTTTCACGGAACAAGTCACCTAAAAATAGGTATGTAGATATCTATAAGTGGTGGATTTTCCAGATAGCCATGCTTGATGATACCGGCGGCCCCTGTCTCAGCGTCCGCCCATGTGCAGCGCAGCGTAAAGCTTGCGGCCGCAATCTGCTCGAGACCCGCTGGGCCCAATGGCTGGGAGCCAGAAACCTGGTGCGGGGCTAACCAGATCTACAGGCACCCCATAGGTCGAGAATGGTCGAGATATACATGCTAAAAATAATGTGGTTATTATACATAAATAAGATATCCACTTATAGCTAGAACTGCAGCTCCTGGTTAGGAACCCGAATTCCAGGCATTCCCAAATATATTATATATTCCCATCAGAAAAGAAAGAAAACCGACATGTGTCTGAATGTGTCAAAAAGTGTCTGACTGGAAACTGGCTTCCGTATTCCCGTTTTTGACTGCAATTGTGACCAACTAAAAGGAATCTGTTTTTTTAATGGGGCGATCTGTCAACATCTATCAACACATCTTGCAGCGGAAGCAACCAGAGAATGGAACAAGCACTGAAGACGGCGAAGACCAGCTCACGCAAGCGGTTTCGAAAGCCCAACGCCTCGAAAAAGTTCATCGGAGGCACATCCAGCCGACTTAATGGCTCATCCCATTTAGATCCATTGAGTAGGTTGTGATCAGTTGTGATCCTAGTTGTAAGATGTTATAAGTGGATGAACCCTACTTATCCAACCTATAACCAGGAAGTAACCTACTTAGTAAGTGGGATGAGCAATGAGCTCCTCTCCTGTGGCGAAAAAACGAAACAGCCGTCCAGTAGAATGACTTCTGACATCTTCTGACATATCTGGCAGCAAACTCCCAAAGTCCATGTCCGAAACTGAAACAAATTGATGCAATATCATGGTTCCTACCCTCTGGTAAACTAACATAACTATGGAAAATCACCATTTTTAATGGGTAAATCCACTATTTCTATGGCCATTTTCAATAGCTTTTTGTATGTTTACCAGAGGGTACCGTGTTTTTTTTTTTATGACTCCCATCCCATCAATTCCTTCGGTAAACCCAGAATGTCAGGTAGGAATTTCACCATGTTCATGGCTGATCTTTGGCGCCGAAAATATCGGTGTCACACACCAAGTCCTTCTGAAAATTGCCAGATCATCCTGTCCCCCTAGTATGAAACACCCCCATTCTATGGTCCCAAATATGTATATATATATATATTTTTTTTTCATATATATATATACATATATATATACATATATATATATACATATATATATATACATATATATATATATATATCTGTGTGTGTGTTTTCATCCCCTTCATCCCCCATGGTTTCTGGGAGCCTTCAATATGGACACGGGAAGGGACTAGATCATACTTATACCGTAGCCCATTCATATTCCGTGCACATCCCACACTTATCACGATATTTCATCATATACCATCTGGCAAGCAAATTGGCAATGGACAAATCCACTTGTGGACAATATTGGTGATGACCACGGTAATTACCAGTATATTACCCTCTGGTAATTTAACATAGCTATTGAAAATGGCCATTCATAGTGGATTTTCCCATTAAAAATGGTGATTTTCCATAGCTATGTTAGTTTACCAGAGGGTATTTCCCATATATTCCTCCTATCATATTGAACATATTGTGTCCATAATCCATCGTTTTCCCTTCGATAACCCAATATCCCCTTTTTGGGACACCTGGACAGCTGCAGGGTAGACGTAGCCAAGCGCTGCTGCGGCACCAAAGATCAGGGCCAAGGTCCTGCTTTGGGAACGGTGGGATCCCTGGGGGTACCGCTTTTAATCATGTGTCACCAATGGCGAGGATGCGCGCTTAATTAAGCTATTTTCATCTATTTTCCAAGCTGTTCCATAGCAAATATACCAAGAAACAACATCAAAATATCAAGCGTTTCTTTTTAAAGGATGGGCCAGGATGGGTGGTATCGGTATGTTTCATTCGGCATCCAATGACCAAAGCACCGAGATCATCTCCCCATGGAGATGGCATCACATAGGTTGTCGAATTGCGCTTGTTCAAGGATGTTTACATCTAGGATCCAATTTTTTTGCAGCCCACAAGGCACCAACACAACTTTACTGAATTCCCAAGGAAATTGAATAATGAGATCCTGATCAGTAGCATCCTCGAATCCTAAAATATCCTAAAATAAGTCTCAAAGTGAGGTCCTGCTTGCTGCCAAGCAGCAAAAAAACGTCCAAGGTAGGATTCTTGATCGAAGTTGCAGTGCCCCCATGCATCGCTGTCCTTGAACCTGCAGGATGTGGGAAACAAGTCCAGATCTTGGTGATTTCCTCCGTGTGGTTGCCATTGGTCGACTGGCACCCTGGTAACACAGAAACAACAGGATGTGTATGATGTGTGACCTTCAACTGTTCGTGGACCTTGTTGGTTTTCGATCCGCACTCAAGTCGTCCCCAGTCCAGGCTCAGTTCGCCGAGCCTCTAAGATCGCGTCCACATCCAGCCTGGAGGTTGGCCACTGCCCAGGTGGTGGTCAAATTCATCCACCCTACTACTCTTTGTGAAGTGGATGCCCGACTACTATTAAAGACTTTGCACTTACTTCCAGTATCACCCAGTATCAAGGTGATATTTTCAGACCTATAATCTACAATCTATAACCATATTCATCCATATTTACCCTCTGGTGAACTAACATAGCTATAGAAAATCACCATTTTTAATGGGAAAACTCACTATTTCTATGGCCATTTTCAATAGCTTTTTGTATGTTCACCAGAGGGTATCTATATTTCAAATCCTCTCACTGGTGGCACCCTCCTGCGCAGTGCTCAGTTGCGACAGCCGCGTCTGTTCCCCATCTCCTCAGTTCGCTGCTCGGACCCCCATGAAATCGATTGAAATCGTCCCAAGAAAACCCCAGCATTCAACAAGAAGCGTTGGAACCACAAACATGTTGAGAAAACTATGGAATTACTTAAGGAGTGATCCCCTGACGAATGATTCCGTCATAGTTTCTGACATATCATCTGGAAGTAAATATATGGCATATATATATTATTATATATATGTGTGTGTGCATATATATATATAATATACGTATATATTCCGTCATTCCATGGTTTTTCCCTGGAAAATCCAGCTCCAACTCATTCCAACTCCACCTTCCCTTCCATTAATAAGCCCAGGCTCCCTGCCACCCGACCTGACAGGGCCATGTAACTTGGGATGTGTGGGATAATCATCAATCATCCCAAAATGATGTGTGATATATGGATGTCTGGGCAAGTCTCATTTATTCCAATATATATTCCAATATAATCAATATATCACCCCAAGAATGTCCAACATGCTTCAACTATGACTATGCTAATCTACCGTGGGAACATGCTTCGAGTATGTCAAAGGAAAATGCAGGATAATGAGCACTCAATGCTAAGGTGAATTGACCCCTAGAAAGAATGCAACATACAAACACAAACCGAAAGCAACATAAGCAACATGGTTCAAACAATCATTTAATAGAGATCATTCAACATCTTTTGGTCAATGTGGGAAGCCTATGAAACCGCAATGAACTGAGGCTATGTGCCGATGCATACATAATAAAGTATGACATGCATATACAGTATACATCAGTATACACACGAAGGCTGACACAACACACCCACACACATGTCCTAAATGGTCCCAATGTATGCGCACATGTTGTGCACACCCAACTGCACCGATACCTACATACCAAATCCGGCCCGGCACAAATCATACAACATCATACAGCTATATCAGTTATATCCCATCAAATAGTTTTATCGTCTACCTAAGTGCCAATCCCCTTATCCAGAAAATCTGCCGGACAGTCCCAAGTGGCTCTGCGAGTGGCTCGAGGGGCTGCAAATGCTTGGTGGGCTGCAGCAAATAGCAGCCTAGCTCAGCAGGGAGATCCCCTGGGATCTGAGCTGGCAATATGACAATCTTCCATGATCTTCCATGATTTCAATCGTCCGAATATTGTTTATCTATGTTTATCTTTTGGTGCCACAGGAACGATCCTGAAGGTATCTGCTTGCTGTGTTCGACTACATCCCTCACACCCGGTTTACCAAGAGTGGGGCGATTCAAACCAATTGATGAACGTCCAGAATAGTAATGGGTCTATTCAGCAACGCAACCAAACCTAAATGCTCAACTCATCGCCGAGTGACGCAATGGCAGCTATCGCAGCCCATGGCCTTGTCGTCGGCGCCATGGTACAACAGCTTGAGCCGCGGGGCCACAGGCGCCCCAAGGAGTTCCATCCGTGTCCTGTGGTGGTTTCAAGTGGCTTCCTTGGTCCATCGATGAGTTTCCAGGCCTATCAGAAGCTTCAAACTTGAAATGAGATTTATGCGTTTGGGAGCCACCCATCGAATAACAGCTGAGTACCGAAAACAAAGTCGCGGTCCACTGGGTCGTGTGTTTGACCTATACACACTTGATGGGTGCTTAAATTTTGGTCCTTTCGAAATCTGCAAAACCCCTTGTGGTGATTTCACTCTGCCATCTCTGCCTCTTCCGGCCAAAAAAAACTGGGGGATGAGAAATGGACTCATGACACGCCCAAGAGTTTTTCTTGGCCGCAGCACTGCCATTCTTTGCAAGGCCAACGGCCAGGATCCCAGGGCACCTGCGCTGCAGAGATTCCTCCAACATCATCAATATCGCCAAATACTTGGCCACAAAGCTAGGTTTACTCATAGCAACTCCTATATGTGACCTATGACTGTCAGACCCGGCAGAAAATCTGTCAAACATATCTAATTTTTGATGGTGTTTACCATGTTTTACCTGTTCAACATAGGAAAATTGATTCATGTTCCCTTTATCAAATGTCCAAAGGGGATATATGTGTGTCATTGTTTTTCTCAGAATGGCGTATACTTCACATCCTTCACCAAAAGGCATCACACAATGATACCCTGAAAAAAACATGTTTATGAACAACTTATGGGGAACTTAGTAAACTAACATAGCTATTAGCTATGGAACATCACCATCTTTAAGTTCGGTAAATCAACTATTTCTATGGGCCATGTTCAATAGCTATGTTAGTCATTACCAGAGGGTAACCCATGATAAACTAATGATAAGCCATGGAAAGAATGGCTGGTAGCGCCTCATTACTCTCGAAGGCCCAGATGGTAGCAGAGGTTAGGGTACCGTCAACATCCAGCGGATGCGCCTGAGGCGAATGTTCCGAAAGGCCAGGTGATGGATCCCAAAATAAACAGCTAAAGATAGCGAAAGGATCTTTAATAGGGATATAATGGGGGCATCATATTCATAATACGGATATAATGTGTCCATGATCTCTAGGATCTCTTGGGACATAATGGATACAAAATAAATGATATAGTATGTCCACGCTTATCAGTCAGGTTGAAACATCGGTTGGTCCATATGGACAATTCATGTGACAATTCACATCATCTAAACTTTTTTTTCACTAATTATACTGAGGATTATCATGGATTTCGTCGAAGGAATATGTTGAAAGTCCCGCTGGCTAGCAAGTACGAAACAAAATGACTTTGACCGTGGGACCCAAACGTCATCCTAGAAGAACAATGATGTACAATACGCTGGTTCTTGAGGCTACTCAGACGCCGAATCGCAGCCCTACAACTGCAAACATCATTTGGGATATAAGAAGATACAAACTAGCGTTGAGACCTATGTAATTTACCCTCTGGTAAACTAACATAACTATGGAAAATCACCATTTTTAATGGGTAAATCCACTATAAATGGTCATTTTCCATAGCTATGTTAGTTTACCAGAGGGTAACACGATTTTACAATATCTTGCCTTTTGCTTATGTCTGGTTGCTGATCTGAGTTCAGGCTTCACTACTTCACTACTTGACTTGTGGGTGCAGTTCCACTTGACAAGTGGGTCTCTGGGCCCTAATTCATGCGGGTTACAACCATGGCTATAGTTAATATGGTAAGCTTATTATGAAAATGCCATACTATGCTTATTAAGTTATATAGTTAGTATACAACAATAAACTATGCCATACTATGCCCAATTTTGGCTTATTATGAAAATTGGGTATACCATGGTATACCAATATACACCGATGATTGGCATGATTAATAATGGCCCCCAGATGCTTAGTTAACGGTTTATGGCATTATTGCATTATGGCATTATTGTTTTCACACATCAAACTATCCATCCATAACCCAAAAAAAACTGCACCTCCAAAGTGATTTTGCCTATAACCCCCCCATGGTGATATGCTTTAAGCCATCATTTATTATCCATTCCCCACTACCCACGTGGCCCACGCCTGCCAACAGTTCATTGCAAGTTCCGGCGGCCCGGAGCCCAGGCCGATCGCCCGAACCTGTCGTCCACATTTCACTCTCCGGTGTTTCCACATATAGCTATGGAACATGGCCCGTCTATAGATTTTTTGCCTATCAAAATCTATCAAATATTGTATCTCTCATGGTGATGTTCCATAGTTTGCCGGAAAAAAAAAAAACATTGTAATTTTCCATGGCTCTGGTAGCTATGTTATGCTGATTTACTCCAGGGTATGTTGTTATTTTCTGGCGTAACCCATCGTAGCCTACGCTCATGGCCCTCAAGGGGAAATGATCCACGATGGATTTTCCATGCGTGTTGTTTACTGGGGAGTGACATTGTATTTACCCACCTTTTGGCCCTGCAAAATGAATATATATATGTCAAGAAATAATATAATAATAATAATAACAATGATGATGGTAATAATAATAGTAACAATAATAGTAACAATGATGATAATAATTAGAATAGTAATAATAATAGCAATAATAATAATAACAATGATGATGATAATCACAATAATAACAATGATGATGATAATAGTAATAGTAATAATAAATAATAATACTACTACTGCTAATAATAATAAATAATAATAATTATAATGACATAATAATAATATATAGATCCGCTACACTCGCTACAAATCAGCGGTTTTTCAGGGTGCCACCTGCCGCTCATTGCTGTGGTACCTGTTTGAGGGACGCCTATCGAATTCCAAGATATTTTTTCCGCTATCCAAATTCGATGGAAACACTTTCTCTGTATACCTTCTTTTTGGATCTTTTTGGCGTCATAGTCATTGGTTGACTTGGTGCATCCTTTGGAATTAGGAGATTCAACCAACTGAGAAGGACCAGATCTCCACGGTATTCCAATAGCTCCATTGGGCCAATCGTGGCCTTTTTTACATGTTCAACGCCTGACAATGGCGCTGATATGCGCTGATTCCTCATCAATGACATGAATTACTCTCTGGTATATTAACATAGACCCTGGCAGATAGCAGATAGGGGTTGGAAGACTAGTTTCCATTAAAAAATTGTGATTTTCAGGGTCTATGTTAATTTACCAGGGGGTACTTCATATACCAAGCACCATCATTTTACAGAACGGCCGAGACGTCCCAGTCCCCATTGAAGCTGAAAGGCAGCAGATCGGTAGGAGGCATGATGCGGCTGAACTCGTAGATGCGAACTGTGGATCCGATCTCCGAAGGATCTAAGAATCGAAGCGCCGTTGAAACCGATGTTTAAACTTCGTCATGTGTGAACACACACACACATATATATAATAATACATTTATATATCATGTCTGAAAATAATATTATAATATATATATATATCATTTAAAACATCATGGTTTATCATCATTTGAAGTTGATATTGACACCTTGGATCCATCTTGGGCCATGAGGGCATACCGACCCATATCGAATCCTTGAGTCGGAATCGAACGATTCCTAAACCCATTCGTTGGAATGTTCGATCTTCTCAACGATATGTTTATCAATATCTTATCATATGTTATCAATATCTTATCAAGTCTATATCACATGATATCAAATTTATGATATATGTTATCCCTATAAAATGTGATCATATCTTTTATTCCCCATATTTAAATATATATATATATATATATTGAGTCTCTTTTTGTATCTTCCCATCATTTCCCATCCCCGGGTCCCGGGGATTCGGTGGTGCCGAGGTGCATCCACCAGAGCGTCTCAACGCACCGAAGCCAGGTCTCAGGTCTTTGCAGCTGCGCCATGGCTCCGAAGCATCCGATGAGATCTGCCGAGCCGTCACGTAACCTGATCTGAGAATGAGATCTGAGAATAGGAAACACTTATATATATATACACGTATATGTGAGATATACATCTATAATATCTAGCTATAGATATCTATAGTATCTATAGTATCTATAGTATACATCTATATCTGAGAATATGTTTAACACATTAATGTCACTGGAATCATGGTAAGGGAAATCATCCCCTTTTATGGCCAAACATTTCAGGTTAGTGAATTATTATAATTTACCCAGATATATATGGGTTTGTCTGAAAATAGGGTATATTCCCAATTACATATAGCCATTTAATAGGGATAATGATCAGCAAAACCATTGAGTTTAGGGGTACACTATTTTCAGACACACCCACATATGGGTATGGATCAATACCTATTAATACCATTTTTAGTGGGATGAACATCCATAAATCCCAGCTAGTTTGATGTGAACTACAGGGGTACAAGGTTTTGACACACTGCCATATGTCACAAGAATTAAAAAGAGATGATAAAGGAGATGATAAATATAATATGTTGTATATGTTATAAATAGATACAGTACCGCCTCATATAGCCAATCGTTTCGGAACTGTTGGCCCATTTTATATATCTTTATTGTAACACGATAGGCACATGCAAACAAACTGGATACAGCCTGACCGCCAGGCAGGATCCGCAGGCACGGGAATTTCCCAGGGCCAAAGTTTGGGATATAGTTTCATCATGTTTCATCTCATTCCATGATTTCCATGCAATTTCAAATACTTCACAGAAATGACGTGTTTCATCATGTTTCATCATTAGGTCTTTGGATTCATTAGGTACCATCTGGTTATTTAACATAGCCATGGAAAATCACCATTTTTAATAGGTAAACCATGGTAAACCATCTATTTCTATGGGCCATCTATACCATGGCTATGTTAGTCATAACCAGAGGGTATCAGTAGATTCAGCAGGCCCAGGATGGCCCTGGACACCAAGCCATACAGACCTTAGCCACGCGACAGCCAGAAGCATCGCTGCCATGCGCTGAGCTGCGCTGAGGTGGTCAGCATGGCATTCCTCGCGCCGGAGGATAGGAGCAGCCTGGCAGCTCCAAGGAGGGTAAAGGTAAACATCATGAATCCAAAATAATCCAAATATGGCCCAGTATGCCTAAATATGGCCAAATTGCCAAATCTATGGTTTTTTGGTGCGTTTTTTAGGTCTAAACGTCAGAACATGAGCTATCCAGAACTGAAATCTCAGGTGATCACCACGAAGTGGAATAAAATCAATGACCGCAGGCAACGCCAAACCATACACTGGCTACATCTCACTTCTACACCCAACAAATCTGAAGATGCATGGGTCAGTTTATGGTATGTCCCCCCCCCCAAGCAGGATGGGCCTCCAGCTGCTGCTGCAAATGCTGGCAGCGAGCGTGCCGGCCACTGCAGCGGCGTCGTTGAACGCGTTGAATCGCAGAAAGCTTAGCAAATGGCCTTGGCGCTGCCATTGCTGCATTTGTGGCTGGGATCATATAGGATTTGGCGATGATTGGTTGGGTGGATGGTTTGAACAGCTTCTTCGATTCAAATTCGATGGCTGATTTGGCAAGTCAAAACCTGGCTTGGATTCGAGGCAGCTGGGAAGCTGGGATATTGATGTTCGGGCCATAGCAGCTATGGCAGCAGTCAAGCGGCAGTTTCTTCGCCACAAACCACACTCGCCTGGCCGTGAAAAGAGCTCGGGTAACGCTGGTTCAGACTGAGATCGCGATCTAAATCCATTCTTGGAATCTCAACCTGGTTGGTGGTTTTTCGCCACCCCTCTGAAAAATGATGGAGTTCGTCAGTTGGGATGAAAATCTTCCCAATATATGGAAAACATGTTCCAAAGCACCAACCAGCAGTCATATTGTCTGCACTTGGATCACTTGGTGCCCTTAAACCAGCAATGAACCCAATGAGTTGACCATAATCCCAGTTCTCCACCTGGATTTCGGTTCCTTTCCAAACATGTGCGGCTTCACCTAAGGCACTGCTAAGGATAGGACTGAATCCTTGGTTTGTGAGAGCTTCACCATCGGCGAATGGCGGAGAATCGGAGCACAATACACGGGGGTTTCCTAAATGATGGTATACATGGGGGTCCATCCCAATCATCCAACATTTTTGTCCTTTTTTTTTTTAGTATTGACATCGTGTTGAACAGCAATTGTTTTAAGTGCTTCTCAGAGGGTCCATGGTTAAGGAAGATATCAACATGTCACTGGATTGGGTTAAGGGAAAATCTACAGGAAACCATGGTTTTTACCATCAAATATAGGGCTTTCCTGTAAATTTTCCCATAATCCAATTCTATGAACATGCCCTTAAAGGCAACACTAAAACTAAGATCATCTTCCCTCACTTCCTGGGTTTCGGCACTTGAGGCTTCCAAGCGCAAGCCATTGCTGGTCATTTCCTCGGTGAATGATGTCATCACCAGGATTCACTCCATGAAAGTTACGCTTGAAAACGGATGTGCCCTGAGTACAAGAAAGAAACTAGGCGTAACTAGGCGCTTTGCAAAGTGACAACCTGCCATAACCTGCTGCTGCCAAGTCTCTCCTAATAGCTTCCACACTTCTTCCCAATAATACCCCCTGCCCGCATCCCGCATCGCAGCAAAGCAAAGGTTGTCATCGGCATCACCTGCACGGAAAATGGCCAGAGAGCTTCGCCAGCGCCCTGCCATAGAACCTCAGAATGTCTGATTTCCCGCTGATGGAACATGTTGGAGGAACCTTTAGGGTCCTCATATGTCCTAATAGTTTGCGACCAGAAAAACGGAACGGATCCTTACGGGGGGTCCCGTGGTATCTGTCACAAACTCCCCCAGGAGGCAAAAACTCAGCAAGAAAGAATCGGATTGCAAAAGCTACCGCCGGACAGGGCTGGCTTAGGAGTACACCACAAGACACCCAAACAATATTGATGCCGGAGCATCACTGTAGCCATCAATTCGGGGAACAGATTGCCCCACCACAACGAAGCCTCACTCCCGTGTATCTTGCAGCAGCTTCCAGGTTTTCACATTTTTTTTCGCCAAAATTTCCAGGTGGCCAGGGATGAACACTCTTGTTCATGGCCAGCAAAAACACTCATGGCCAAGGAATCTGGTGTAAATTCGTGGCCAGAATTACGTCTTCAACTCACTCAGCTTAGAGTGTCCTGCTCAAAGACTGCCCGCCTCCGTCTTAAAACTGAAGGTTCCAAACGGCTCCAGACAGCGAGCATCGCACCCTCAAAAATGTTGTCGAAGTGTGAGCCGTGGCAACAACCCTAGTGGAAATTCTTTGACCGCTTCCATGCTGTGTCGGTTCGTGGTGGAATTCCATTCAAAAAGTAGCACAACCGGATGGATTTCATACACGGTTCACTAGCATCAGCGGAGAGATTGGGCCACTGCTCAACTTCTCAAGCTACAAAATGTCGACATGTTGCAATTAGCAACATGCCTGAAATCATGCGGTTCACTGGCCATCCTTTACTACCCCATGGTCCCATCTTTGCATATCTGTGAAAAACTACAATCGCAAGCCACTCCAGCAGGAGCTGCGCCGATTGGCTGGCTAGATTCTTGTTTTCGCCTGGAAGATTGGAAATCCTTTCAACCAAGAAGCGCAACCTCAAAGTCTCAGAAACAGTTTCTACTATGTCTACTCTGAAGCCAGTGTCCCGCCAGCTGTGCATGGCGGTTGCTGACGTCCGGTTGTCAAACTGCTGGTGCACATGCACGTGATATGCACGTGATTAATGTGGGTAATCCCTTGATGGGGAGGACATGAGCCCGAAACCAGCTCACTAGCATCGGTGCTTTCCCTTCTGTAAACTGCCACAGAGCTGCGGTTGAATGCCGGACCAGGTTTTGAGAAGACAACTGTTTTATGGCTTGGATACAAAGAGGATTTTGGTCAGTGGTGTGGAATTCTTGCAATGCTCTAACCAGCTATCATGACCCATAATCACAATCAATCATAATCATAATCCCTGCAACGACTTTTAAAATCTTTGAACATAATAATGGCTGGGGATGAGTGCTGAATTCCTGCACTGCGCTGAAAAGGCCCCAGCCCTTAACTCTGGACCGACAGGAAACTCCTACAGGGCATACGTGAGACACTCCTTAGCCAAGTGCAATTTTGGGCCCTTATCTCCTACGACTGGGTTTCAGTCCAGACGTGCAATTACCTCCAACTAGTGGCCAAGAGAAAATTGCGAGAAAAAAAGGATTGACAATTGGAGTTATATCAATTATGACTATCACATATCGTCACATATTATATATAGGGGTACTCCTGTTTACGGACAAACCCAAATGTGTTGAATTCACTTGATGCACTTGAAATTGAAAGACTCTCTGAGCCGACTCTGGATACTCTGACAGCACAAACCTTATTAAGTATGGAGAGTGCTGTCCAAGAGTCTTCCCGAGCGAACATGCGCGTCATCGCCATTGAAATTGCAATGACACGGGGCACGGGGAACCAACTATATAGTTGAGTTGTATTACACGCTCCGGCATGTTCTAGACTCTGTCTAGACTGTATAGACTCAGACTAAATTTAAACATCTAGATCACCTAGTTTTTAAACTAATCCCCTTTCAGGACCCACCAGGCCGGCTCATTGCTGCCTGGTGTGCTCAGCCCCATGATCTGAATCTCCACGGTCTGAGGATTGCGCGCTCTCTCCGGTAGGCCTGGTAGGCCTGGTTGCCCTCGACCCTGGCTCTTCGTCTTGGAAGCGTTGACGAGTAGCTGGACGTGGCACGGCAGCTGCAGCTGGATGTGCTGAAAACCTGCGCAGCAGTGAGGCATTTGGAGGTTCCAATGCTAAGGCCTGGATGGAGAGGGCCATCGCTTTGGGATCTCTCATTGCGTCTCTGTACTACGAGCCCAAAAGGCTTCGCATCTGGCTTGCTTCGAAATGTTCATAGAAGACCACCCCCACCACAAAGCCAACAAACCCGTCCCCAACCATCATATCTCCAATTAAGCGGCCGTAAATTGGAGGGTATATAAATCCCTCACATTGTATTCAGAGACATCCATGCGTCCAATATCATCGATTTCATATCTGCCAAAAAATCGTTGATATATACTAAATTGGATTCTGCACACTAGAAAATTCAATGGATACCCTCAAATCCCAAGGAACCTAAGCATGAAGCACCATGGCTGGCATGGCTGGAGACGATTTTTTTGTTGAAGCCCCTGGTGTTTTACCCCTCACCACCCAGTCATGTCACAGGCATTGGCTGCAGAGGACCTACTGGAGGAGTCTGGCCGCAGCTGCAGCCGCAGCGCCGAGCTAATCAACACCGAGGTCATATGCCATGGGGCAGCGACGCCAATGCAGGCACCTGCGCTGGGGTTAGGTGGTGGCACTTTGCTGGAGGTCAAATCTACCGGAAAAAACCACATGAATTTTAGCAATTATAGGGGCTTCCTGTGAATTGTCAGGCAAAACCAATTGGATGGTGGTTTTCAGCCCATCCCCGAAAAATATGAAAGTCATCCTAAGTACTGTAATTATTGTTGCAAGCCTTCGACGGTCGGACACATTTAAAACAACATTTCAAACCAGCAGCCACACAACATGGGCTTTGGTTTCATCCACATCATTCCTATCATCCCCATCATCCTCATCATCCTCATCATCCTCATCATCCTCATCATCCTCATCATCCTTATCATCCTCCTTCTCCTCCTCATCATCGTCATCCTCATCCTCCTCATCATTCTCATCATTCTCATCATTCTCACCCCACCACCCCCATCATCCCCATCATCCCAATCATCCTCATCATCCTCATCCTCATCATCCTTATCCTCCATACATGAAGCTTAAAAACTAGCAACCAATGGGCGCATTTCAGTGGCATTATCATCAAATAAGTGCTGACTACTCTGAAATGGTACTCAATGAGCTATCTATTGCCCACCCGCGGAAAAAAAGGTCAGATCTTAAACTCCTTGAAGGTACCGATGGCCGCGTTGATGCTGATGGTGTTGATCAGTCTTCTTCCGTTGCACATGCTGACTCGCAGCACGTTCAAGCAATCCTGCCAGCAGTCACCACGGGCGAAAGCGCTAGTGCTGGAACCAAAAGAGGTCTCATCCATTTGCAGGGAATACCTCAGAGCCCGCATGGATCATCCATTCTGTTGGTAGGATCAGTAGGATCTGGTAGATTCTGGTAGATTCTGCATATTTTGAGATATTTTGAGTGGTGAACTGATGAAGTGTCCCGTTTTGAACATCACCTGCCGGGGTCATCTCCAACGATACCATTTCAAGCTGTGTCAAATCACAATTTCTTCGGTGGAAGGACCTTGGAGCACCCAAATTTCCCGTGGCAAACAAAGGATCATGCTGACATTATTTTGGTTACCCTCTGGTTATTTAACATGGCTATTGAAAATGGCCATTGATAGTGGATTTTCCCATTAAAAATGGTGTTTTTCCATAGTTATGTTAATTTACCAGAGGGTAAGGTGAACCTGCCGATGACCACAACCATTCACCTTATTTATTTCACCTTCACCGACATCGGCATTTCCGACAGACATCATCAAACCCAGAAGATCCACTGTCGAAATATATTTTGAATGATCCACGGTGCTTCACTTTTTTCCAGTATACCGATACCCCAGAGATTCTATCAAGCTCAATATATGTTCCCATATATATATATATGTGTGTGTTCCCAGTTCATGGGCCATGCTTACTGTAGATGCCCTGCACTAAATAAATGCTTGGCTTGCTAGGTCTACATTTACATGCCACCATTTATAATAGCAAGTGATTCAAGTTCCAAACATCCCCAAACTATCAAGTCCCAGTGATCTTCTAGCTATTCATCGTCGTTTACGTTCCCCAAAGATTTTAAATGATTTTCCCTAGGGGTTTATCCGGATTCAAATGGTTCTATACATCCTAATTATACCATTTAATCCATTGTGATATGTATATATATATATAATATATGATATCAGCATTTTTGATGGCTAAATCTCATCGTCGGTGGTTAAGTCACCATTCTTGCTGCTTAGATCTGCATGTTTGCTGGTCATTGCTGCACCATTTTTGGATGGTTAAGCCATGTTAAGCCACCATTCCTGCCGGTGAACTCCGCCGAGCCACGGGAGCCACGTCGGATTCGTTGATAAAATCGGAGTTGATGAGGGTCGGAGTTCTTGAAAAAAATTCTCCATTAAGGGTTTGTCTAGGCAGGCTACAGCAAAAATCCTGTGTATATATATATTATATATACCCTCTGGTTATTTAACATAGCCATGGAAAATCACCATTTTTAATAGGTAAACCATCTATAAATGGGCCATTTCCCATGGCTATGTTAAATAACCAGAGGGTACATGGATCATCATGGATCAACATGGTCTGACCATGTCTTATCATCCATTTTCCCCGGTAAATTATGACCCAAATCGACATTTTTTTCGCCACTTTTCGCCATGGCTTGCGACTCGGCACTGGCGGCAGATGGAGCCGCAGGACTCCAAGGCTCGGCGCCAGGAGCTTGGCTCGGCAGTCATAGCGCAGTTGGAGGAGATGATGCTGGGCTGAAGGGAACGCAACAGGGCTGCTTGAAGGATGCGGATGCCTGGACGGGATGGACATTCTATGACATTCTATATGATATTCTATGATTCTACCATCAGAAAGGAATTTCACTGGGATTTTAGAGAAATTCAATAGTAGGAATATGTAGGAATAGTATAGAAGAATCAAAAATGGCCGGGGGAAATCGCCGAAATAAATGAGCATTTGAAAAGAACCATCATGGAAATGGAGATTTCCATTGTCATGCATTGCCATACTAAATTCGCATATTGGATCATATTAGTATCTAAATCTAAACACTGAAGAGCAAGCCCCAGATGAATCCAAATGATCTGATTGAACATGTGAAAATTCATTTGGGCTGCGGATGGCTGTGGTTTTACCAAATTCTATCTTTCGTTGGAGGTGCTATACATGATTTGTTCAATTAATATCAATTAATTATGTTTCCATTTTTTCACAGAAAGGCATTTTCATGATTTCAGATAGGTTGCTGTGTACGTATCTATGGCATTTCCATGGATACCTTCAATGTATGGCGGTTTCACCCATGAAAGAATGAATGTCACCTGACAATCATCAACACACCCTCAGTGCTGCACCACATATTTCAGACCACCCACCAGTTCAGAATCTGCAGGAAAAAACCGAAGCGTGGCCATCGTGGCCTGTGGTCCACTTAAGCTTTGGAAATATGATTAATGTTGATGACATATTTGTCAAAACTCCGTCTTGAAGATACAAAAACAATGACTGATGGAATGCATCAGTAAGCTATGGAGACTGCATTTTTATTGGGTCTCGTCATGAGACCGCAGTGTTGTCAGCCACAAAGGTCAGACATCACAGACCGCATCCCTTTTTAGGGGGACCAAGCTGCCGCTGCCTCCCTTCCAGGTGTCAACTCTGATGGCTGCATTCATCGCAGTGTTGTAAGAAATGATGTTCGTCTGCAGGTGCCTCAGTTTTGCTGAGCTGAGAGCTGTCAGAGTTCGAAAAAACGATTTTTGCTGGGATCATGGTCCCAATTTTTGGGTCGAACATACCACAAAAAATTGAAAAAAAAAGCCGGCCAAATCTAGTCTTCCCCCAGCAAAAATCTCACAAAGTTACGAAGTTGATCCCCAAAAAAAGTTTGAGGGCTTCGCCCTGAGCTACCTACTATAGGTGTAGCAACTCTGGAAGTTATCAGATAAGCTTGCAGGACACCATTGTTCATCATATGTCATCATGTTTTTTGTATTAAGCTACTCTGGCAAAGACAACCCCCACCTTTGCCTTTGATGGGGGAAAAAAGTGAAATCATCTGTAAACGGAGGGGTTGTACATTGTCATATTTGATTTCTACAGGTTACTGTGTCCTCTGTTATCTCTAACGGTCAGAGGGGCTGATCTTCAGCAGCGTGCAATATGTCTATAGCTCTCAGCCAGCAATGTCGCTTGCCTCAGGGGTGTCCGGGGATTTGTGCAAAATTGGACTTGAGTTCCCCCGCCTATTCCATCCTCTCCCTACCTTTGGTCTCAAGATACCACCAAACAAATAAAATAATCAAGGGAATGTACCAGGAATGATATGTTTGATACCAAAAACTAGGTGTTTGACAGTTGCCATCTCTCAGATGATATCGGCCATGCGGATTGCTCCATCTCCTTCAGTCTGATCTCTGCTCCAGTGCGCTTTGGTGTGTTTGATGTTTGGTGTTGTGTGTGTGCGTGTGCTGTTCATTCATTTTTCCCCCCTTCACGAACTTCCATTTATTTTTTAAAATGTAGTTTTGATTTTAATGAATGTTGCCCCCCAGGTTGGATACACAGCACAAACACCAGGAAAAAACACAAACCAATCAATATGAATCATGTGTTTTTTTGCACCAATCGCCCATCGTTTTCCCAACCCCCAGGGATCCCAAGGTACTTACGGCACTCAGTACGGTGCCGTATGATGCAATGTCCCTGGCGAGAGCGCTTTGCGGCATCTCCAAGGCCAAGTGGATGCAGTGCTGCCAACGCCCGGACCTTTCCTTTCTGCGCAACTCTTGGGACGTTGGGATACCTGGTAAATGACTAACATAGCTATGGTATAGATGGCCCATGGAAATAGTTGATTTACCTATTAAATTAAAGATGGTGATTTTCCATGGTGATGTTAAATTACCAGAGGGCATGGGGGAGTTTCCAAGGGGACTTGGAAGGGAATTTACGGAATTGACATGAATTTATGAACTAATTCCACTAATTGAAGCGCTGAGGAATGGGTGACCAACGGGGAGGAACTGGGGAAATTGTGAACTATATAATTCAACGGAAATTGAACTCAACAGCTGAGGGGGACAGGAGTTTACTAACCATGGGGGGGAAAATGGTGACACAGGCTCAATGTGAAACCATATGAAACCCCAACCTGGCCAGGAAAACAAGGTGAACACTTGTGAATGTTGCCGAAGGACTCGTGGCTCTTTGCTGCCTGGCTTCCAGCAAAGAGATCCCTGCATTGAACAGTAGAGTGTCACATTGCACCGAATTTAAATGCAACTTTTGGATCTCGGCAAGTCCAGAATGCCAAGTGGACTGTTGAGCAAATTCGCGGATCCGGGCTGTACCTCTGTGTCTGGTTGGGAAGGTGCAAAAACAACATCTAAAACTGTATGGATCTATGTACTGTACCTATCATCTGCATACATACACAATCACATATATATATAATCTTTAAATCAAGTAATATCATCCAAGATCGCTTGGAGTGGCCCAGTCCTGTCCCAAGACTTCAAAAACGCCGGGTTTTGGGCACTGTTGCTGTTGCTCCCTTTTGAGATCAAGGAAGTACATGGAAGTACTGCATTGTTGGTAGTTCTGAACCATTTTTCAACTCATCTGAACAAATATGAAACATATATAAAATCATATATATATATAAAATAATAGCAACATATGCTCATTGAGGATCATCATCCCAAAATATTCCAAATATTGGAACATCTTTGAGACCCACCAAGCACTGAGCCGCAGCCGGGGCACTTTTTCCCACCAGCGACTTTCCGGACATCGCCGGGCTTGGCCGCCCGGGCACATATCATCCGCCCAGCAACCACTCCTGGGGATCAAAGGGGGGACACGTAAAAAAGAAGAAAAGTCACAAAAAGCCGCTGAACATCCACAAAAATCCACAAAATAACAAACATATCACTGGTAAGGGCCCCTAGGGCCCCCCCAACCAAACTGGATTCGGTCATACAAGGGTGTATCTTGTGGATTGTCTCCTGGATCAACGCCACCGATTCCGCGTTTCTGTCTGCACAGAACCATGGCACTGCTGCGCCACCGCCAAAGCCGGCATGGCTGGCAGTATCTAGATGTTTTTTCCGCGAATGATGTGTACCGGATTATGAACAAACTCACGTTCAAAACTTGGCCATTTGTCAAGTCCCACTCTATAAGCAACTGATGGATCGAATAGCCGGGGGAGGAATGTCTTCCCAATCTCTGGCGTAAAAATGCGTAAAAGTCACTAGGTTTGCCCCAAAGACCATTGATTCTGCAAGCTTCAGAATAGAAACTAGACGACGGATGGCCTGAGAGCGTAGAGGATCAAAGTTTCTCAGGTGAATATCAACTCTGATGTTTAGAATGATAATGTTGAAAGGAATGTGCTTAAAGAAGTGAAATTCAAAAGAGAACCTGTGTGAATGAGATATATAAGATGGTCGGAAAATAATGAACACTAAAGAAAAGATGGAGAAGGCATGAAACAAAAGAATAACACGCAAAGCGGTCGCTGTTACACACAGACGCTCGTACACACAGGCACAAACACACACACACACACAGCACGCACGCACACACACACGCCTTTACACGCAGCCGCTTTTACAGATATGTTTTTACACACAAACGCCTTTACACACAGAAGTTTTTACACACAGAAGTCCTTACACACAAAGGCCTTTACACACAGAAGTTTTTACACACAGAAGTTTTTACACAAAATAGCAAATGTTAGGCAAATGTTTCTCATTTTGTTCGTAAGGGTCGCATTTTCGTGACTCGTGGCCATCGCCCGCCTTAAGAGAGAAGAGAAGTTAGGAGAGATGTGAAGATGTAAGGCGTGACGTAAGATATGAATATGTAAGGTTTGAAGATGCAAAATGTGAAGATGTGAACATGTAAGATGTAGAGATATAAGATGTAAAAATGTAAGATGTGCAAATGCACAGTAAAATGTAAAGATATGTATATAAAGATATGTAAAGATATGTAAACATATGTAAAGATATGTACAGATATGTAAAGATATTAGATCTAGATCTTGCCTCCTCTTTTTAGAAGAACCCTAAGCTCCGACGCTCTCGGGGAAAAAAGTTGGGATCCTAACCTACTACTGTCCAAGATACCTCCCGAAGTAGAATTCAAAATGAGGTCATTCAACAACAACAACCGACCAATGATTTTGCAACCCCAACTTTGAAACATGCAACCTAATACGAAAAAATGGCCGAAAGTACCATACATCCATCCATCCAACCCTGGCATCCTGCCATTAACATATTCAACTGCGAGTAAAATGGATTGTGTTAGGTTGGGCATCTGAACCACTTCTGGGAAAATTCAGTTGTGCAAATCAAGGATGGAATCCCAAGCTTTTTTGCTGCAGGAAATCATCGACCCAGATACGAGGTTTGAGATGGGAAGCACGAGAAAGCAGCAGTCTGCAAACAAACCCATCGTAGATATTCGCAGATCACCTCTGGTTAATCACGGATACCAACAAAAACCGGTTCTGAACCATTCATATCATTCATTCGAGCTTGTTCGTGCATAACCACATTTATGGCACATAATGATCATTGATACCCTCTGGTAATTTAACAGTTTGCTATTGGAAATGACCATAGAAATAGTGGATTTTCCCATTGAACATGGTGGATCTTTCCATAGCTATGTCTATGTTACCAGAGGGTAATCTAAACAGCTGATCAGGGTGAGGCCGCCTGGTCGTGATGTGATGTGAATCTTTGTTTATAAACCCCTTAAATCCATGAACAATCATGTTACCCGCCAGTAAATTAACATGGACCCTGCCAGATATTAGGGAACATATGGGAACATAAGTTCAATTTCCACATGTGTCCGAACATGTTTTCACTCAACATGGGCGATTTTTGGGATCGAATCCTTTTTTTTTCAACCAGATCTCCCGTAGAGCCTCGCAGCTTTTCGAGCCGCTCAACTTCTCGGGATGCGCCGCATTGCGCCGCGTGAGAGATGAAGGGGGGGGGTCTGTTTTTATGGCTGAAATACATCTGGTAAACTAAGAGTTTGCTATAGAAAATCACCATGTTGATAGGTAAATCAATGATTTGCATGAGCAAGTTTCAATAGCTGCGGAAAAAAATGCCAGAGGGTATATTCAAGATTTTTGTTGGGGATATCCACGTGTATGGGGGGAATATCCTGATATCATTTGTGCGTTTAGGAGGCCGCAAAGAACTACATTATCTTGTTTGAGACAGTTCTATATACCACATTGGCATGATATCAGTGAATTTATTTGTGACATTTTGTGACCTTATGTGAACTTGCATATAATTTCTGCAACCCTTCAGAGGATTTGTTTTTTTTTTTGAATGGCTGTTTTCATATTGTTTGCCATAATCCAGCCCCGCGATTGGTAGATTGCGGAAGCATATCAGTTACACAACTATATATTTTGAGATCATCATGGGGACGTTTCACGAGTTTGCATTGCCATGTTTGTTTACTGGAGGGGACCCAGTAAATGTAAGGTAAATGTTACACAAGTCTTACTCCGTTCACTTGATATTGCCAATGAAAATACAGTACACATTTCCTGTGAAAGTAAAACATGGTCGAGGAAAATCCGGGTGTTTTGAAAGTCCTCTAAGTACAAATTGATGAATACAAAGAAGGATTGTCCATCGAGGGCAAAACATGGCAGAAATCAAATCTTATTTACCGTATTTTACTGTGATAATGCTGTTAACATATCCGCATATTTGTATCTGGAAGACTTCCCTGGCTGGCGGCAGCAAAGAGTCTTGGGCTCCACCCCGTGAAACATCAAAGCATGATCCATATCTTTCCAGACGAGATTTGCCGTCTGGGAAAGCAACATTAAGACATCGTGCTGTGAAAAAAAGGTCACAGGCAACAACTGAGCAAGGCCCTGGAAATAACAGTGATCCCATGCGTACCCTCTGGTAAACTAACATAGCTATCGAAAATGGCCATTTATAGTGGATTTTACCATTAAAAATTGTGATTTTCCATAGCTATGTTAAATTACCAGAGGGTAAGTGCCAAGGAAACCATCAAAATCCAACAGATTCTGCCTGAAATGTGCTGAAATTCATCTGAAGCACACTAGCGTGGGCTAGTCGGCCAGCTCTGAAATGCCGGCGGAGCCATGGCATGAAGACAAAAATGATCAAGCTCATCCAGGCAAATCACTTTGGTTATGTTTGGGATGATTTCACCTCGTGAATGTGTGTATGTTTGTATACTTTTGTATATATATATATATATGTGTGTGTTTAAAACTATGGGAAAACCCACGAAATCCCACGAAATCTGACGGTTGATCTACAATTTCCCTTAGTAAAACTGACATTTTGATACATTTTGGAGGGTATATAACCCCATATGTTCTACAGTTTTCCACCAAATTTTCATGCATTTTGGTGAGGTCCCGTCTCCCACCCATCCTAGGTCTGCAGGGTTGCCATGAGGCTCCACCGGATGCATTACACATGATATCTGTCACCTCCAGTCATGACTTATGAAAGTTTAATCCAAATTAATTGGGCTGGTATAGCTCCCGAATTTCTTGGGTGCTCATGGTTTTTCCTGTTTTAACTGGATATGAATGAATGGGCTATACGAATGGAATAACCCTTGGTCTAAGGCAATTTTTGTGGGGAACTTGGAGGATGGGGCTCTGATGGGAATCTTCAAATGGCGAGAAATATGGAGGTGACAGGACTCTGACATTAGCATGTCATCACCCCCAGCAGCCAGATGCCTGGAGAGGCACGCAGGGATTCACCGGGAGTCCTCTGTAGGCACAGCCGCTGGAAATGATGAGAACGTCATCCATCTGCACCCGTTGGGGCGTGTGTCCATCTGGCTGGCCAAGGGATCCCAAGTGAGGCTTCGTCATCTTTGAGCTACTGCAGGTCCAAGGGCCCAAAGAAGGAGCTACTCAAAAAAAAACAATAAAATTCGTAGTTCCTACCCAAGGAAAATTAGGATCACTCCGCAGTGAACAAATAAAGATACGAATGGAAAATGCCAACCCCATAAACCAGGAATGTCATTGCAGGATGCTTGGTTAAATAGGGATTTTACCTTGGCTAAGCCTCGCAGCCTTCGGACTTTGGCGGCGCTCAGAAGGTTTCATCCTCAATCGATTGAGGCAGTTGTTCTGGCACAGCACCTGCGCAGTGAACTTGGGAATGTGAGACCACTCTGGTTTCCTACAAAAAGGTCTGGGAGTTCACTGCTGGAAAGATGCGAGTCACAACTCCGAATCTATGACCCTCCAACTGTTTCGCTCAGGCAATCACAGATTTTCCGGTAACCCCATGGGTTGATTCTTTTTGGTTTTTAGCGTGCGAAAAGCTATGTGGTACCACCATCGGGTTGGCCCTTATCATCCCAGCAACTGAGAGGCGGGCTCAGGTCGACGTCAAACTCCTGGGCGCTGTTTTCCCTGCTGGAAACCAAGTTTGATGGTAAAACTCTCGGCAGACTTGATTCTTACAAGCAAATTTGGGTTTCAATAGTCTTGTGGCTATGTGGGTTCTAACGGGTTCTAATAGTTTATTAATATAGTTCACATGATTCGAACTGAACTGTGTTTATTGGAGACATGATGTCGCATTCTTTTGAGTGACGAATCCCAACAGTTTGGTGATAATTTGTGTCCCAAAGGTTCTGTTCTTTCTTGAATCAAGCGAACTCCGGTATATCCCCATGCCGGTCGCATCTCCAAGTTCTATTTTTCACTTGTTTAAATCCCATTTTCCAAGATTCACATACAGAAAATTGGGGGCTCAAACTACGACCGGATTTTTCATGACACATATCCTTTTTTTGTTGGAGAACATTCGTCACTGCCCAAGGCTCCTCATCCTCCTCTTCCATTTCCTCGCCCAAGTCAGACAGATCATCGATCTCCATTTCCTACGCATGAAGCGTCGACCCAGTCGGAAACGCAAGCGTGCTAAGAATGGCAAAGTCGCAATAGGAAATATCTCATCCCAAAAAAAACATCCCAAAACATGCGTCATCCCCAGCACAGTCATTGAGGATTATCGTCTCAAAC